GAGGATGTCATCATTCCAGTTCGATAGGCCCCATGTATGGAGCTGTATATAGTGTTATTTGCAGTGACGATGGCCACTACAATTGGCGACGTTTGAGTGAGCAATGAATAAAAAACGTTGTGGGACAATCTGTCCCAAAGACGATTATTTACATGAATCTGTAATCACTTAAACTCCGAAAAGTGTGTAGAAAAAAAGAGCTTCTCTTGGCATTTTACAAGCACACTGTCCGGATTTGCGATATGGTTCGTTTGCTTCCAACATGATTTTAAACGTGTTTGCTCATTTTTTTCAGACTGCGCCCAAATTTCGAGGTACTGCTCATCCCCGTATATCAACATGGAGTGCGCTAGCGGCGCAGTCATGTGAATGATTTGCCTGTCTGAGTCGTAGGAGTGAAATATTTATGGTGGTCGCGACTTTTCTACGAGGAGACTAGGCCTATCTCTGGTGCGTTGTTCATGAGCAAACTTTTTAGTATCTTAGCCTTTGCCGTCACATCCGTTGTCACTACCTTCCTTCCTTTTTTTTGGATTCACTTATGCATCTCTCCAAGGAATAAGCAACGAAGTGAACGAATATCTCCCAAAATTTCGTCTCCATAATTGTGAGAAACTCTTGAGTTCGGTTTCAAACCAGCTGAAATCTATTGAAGGCAATCACAATTACTACACAGTTTTTTTGAATTCAGAACAAAATCTACTATCGCTGCGATCCTTATATTATCTGTAAAATACTGAAAAACAATCAAATCTCTATTTTTTTCCTTTTCGTTTTCTGTCCTTAACAGATTCACGACAAGGACAATTTTTCAATGACTGCCATTTCGAACCAAGGCACATTTCGCAATATTGAGTTTGCGTATATTTTTTGGCCATGATGGGTCCCATGGTCTGAAGTGTTAATCTTTTAAGAGGTTTTCCAAGAGAGGCAAATCGAAGTTCATTCATTTTGCCGAAAAAGGTTGATCGTAAACTAGCAAAACCAAAAACCTCAGAAAGCATACGACCCACTGCTGGGTCTTATTGTTCAAGATGACAGGACACGTACGACCCACCGGTGGGTGTGTGTGTTAAACGTGAAAAAAGAAATGTGTTAAACGGAACAAAAGAATTTACTGACCTTTCTCCAGATATCCTCAATAAGAAAGAGAGGTCTGTTTACCTTGTTGTTTTGAATATTTGAAGACTGTTGAAAAAGCATAAATTTGATAACAGTCTCTTAGACCATTTCTGTTTTATCAATTTAATTAATTCTATTTATCATTTATTAATTTATTTTTTCTCTCAAATGATGTGTTATAAGAGGGTAAATTATAGGATACATTTGGAAAAATCCATTATTTCACAAATTTCATTCACCATGACTACAACTTGAACTCGGAATACTATTGTTTGATGTGATTTGAATAAACGGTAGGTGATGGTGTCACATAAATTTATACTTTAGTAAGTCTGAAGAAAAAATATCTTTTTTTGTTTTGCTTAGTAAAGGCTTAGGAATCGTTGTTATCCGATCAGTGCCAATGGATACCGAATTTTACTTCTTCTTAGAAAACAGTTTTATACGTACATATGCGCGGCCGAGGCTGGCACAATTTGTCAGCAGCATTGGCCCTTAGGGATGGTTGTCGCGCGTGGCAGTTCCGCCCTTCGCTCTTCTTTGCACTCTCATTCATCCTTCTAACTATTTTTCAAGGAGAGATTCTTGGCAGCTGAAGCCTATTTCAAATGTTTTCGGGTTCTTTTTGCTTTTCTCGAATAGGTGACGTCTTATCATTTTGCGGAAAACCCCGTATCCCCGTATAAGTACAATTGTTATAAAACTGTGGTTGGATATAAAGACTGGTTCGGAAGCACTGCACAAAATTTGTTGAAAAATCTTCCCACTAGTTTTAAAGAGTTGGTTGAATCGATATTGCTGAAGAAGAAAAAATGATAGGCTTTCCATTAGAGCCCAAGTCAAGTCCGGCGATACAAATTGATAAGTAGGCAACACTCAAGTCATACTTTTCTTCTTCCCTAAAGATGCCGAGTTTCAACAAAGTCCAATTTGATCTGTACTTATTTACATCTTGCACATTTTGAATGGAATAAATTGATCGAGTTGATTGACTTTTACTATGCTATGAATTTCGAGAACTTGACATTTATATTTTGCTTCAAATACATTTGTTTCTTAATGCTAGATATTTTTTGAGAATTTCGAACACAACTTTCTTATTTTATGCAAAATCTCGAAGCAACCTGATTTGCACAGAAAATTTTCACCTGTATGTATGTCAATATTAACTTTAATAGATTTCCGACTTTCAGAACATCTAGAAGATACATCAATTTTTCAGAGCTAAAAAAGAACGTTTGCTTTGCGATAAAATTGAAAGTTCTTCCAGAATCACAAGTTTTGGACATAAATCTATAGTGTAAAAAATTTCATACTTTTACTTGAAATTAGGTCAATTCGAGTACGATTATAACTATTATTACTATCATATCCTGGTGTTATCGTTTACATTTCTCTTAAAATCGTTACTACTATTATGATTGTGTTTGATGTTACTGGAGTGAATTCTTCGAAATTATTCTTCAGATTCTTGGCAGCAAGTTTTGCATTCGTTGAAGTAATGCGTCATCTGTAAAAATACTCTAATAGTTTCGACGTACGACGTGAAAAGAAAGCATAACTTCTTATTATCTCGGCTGATTCTCATATTATTAAAGGCTATTATCATTCTTCCACAGCGGAGCTATGTGGGATCTGAGTAATCACGTATCACATTTACTCAGTTCTCAAACCCGAAAATCGTACTAAAAACAGAGCACCAAAAAGTATACTCAAATTAGAGAGCTTTCTGATCCAGGAACTGAGCCTCAGCGGCAAAAAGCAGTTAGTTTTTCGGGCGCAAATTAGATTCTATTCGCAGCAGTCAATAACAAGCTGTCGTTGTTAAATTTTCCATCTGAAACACTAGCATGTTTTCATGCTCTAATGATTCATTTCTACCCTTTGTTTGAATTCTCGCTTTTATTTGAGTTTTTGTTTCAGAATAAGAAAGCTCATTTCGAGGAGAAAGAGCGTTTGTATGGGAATTCTTTGATTGACTTTAGAAAAAAGTGATTCTTTGTATTCTATCGAAAATATATTTTGCCTTAGTATGATCGGAAAAAGGTTTTGTATCGATGATTCAATCGCAGTTGCAAAATGCCCAAATGATAAATTTCCTTACTTCAAAATATATATGCTGCCAGGCTCTGTGATATCAATTTTCCAAAAACGAGGAAATAAAATCAATAATAACAAATAACGCACAAGGGTTTCTTCGCGATTCTTTTGTTAAAAATCTGCACAAACTCTTTTGCTTGATTTCAAGGTCTGTTAAAGCGTCATGATAAAGGCTCCAATATTAACAAATTGACGACAAGGTTCATTTTTTGTTGTCTGCTTTGTGAGACAATGCCTTCTACGACTAAGTTGAAAATCTTTGCTGAACTTATGCAGATGTCATCTACAGTATACCTACAGTCATTCTGATAAGCAGCCGAAAAACGTGCAAGCGATTTCTAGTAATACAGTGTTAGACAACTTTTAAATCAAATTCATTTCAAAATGATAATCATTTAACAAAGTTTAAGCCATGACCGACGTGTGGGTCACATCGTCTGATGTAGAAGTCATTGCATGACCCACCGTGTGGGTCATGCTATCTCCAATGGTTGATGAAGATTCAGATTTCTACTTTGCATCATGTTACGATCAAGCAACTATTTCGTTCTCACAAATTTGGTCGTGATGGCGTCTAATCTTTTGTTTAAGGGAAATTTTGAAAGATATTTTTCCTGACTCCGTCCTAGTCTTTTTGAGGGTGAAGATGAAATATGAAAAAGAATCCGAGGCTATGAGGCCCTTAGATTCGCAGCGGCTGAAATACCGTCGCTTTACCACTCAAATTTGATTTTCCGTTTTTGTCAAATCGTATACGAAAATACTATAAGGTGGCCTGTGTCCAGCGATTAAGAGTTGAACTGAAAGTATTGTTTCTAAAAAACTGTCAACAAAAGCAACACGAGATTGCGCCATACTTTCACTTTAGTCCTCAAGGGAACACATGGTATCCTTCGTCATTTATAACGTGCGGTGTACCAGTAGTTGCGTCTTATTGTTAGAACCCAAAACTTGAATTTATCTTCCTTCTAAAAATTTTTTGAACATTGAAAGTTTTAAATCCTTCATTCAAGTTTTTTCTTTACAAAAACGAGTTTCTGCAGTTGATTTCTCTTCACATCATTTCATAATAAGACATGTGTCCACTTCGTATTGGCAGGAATGCATTTCAACTGCAGCTAATGGTTTGAATTTTTAGCACGAAAGTTCCACAAAACAAACGTCTAGGATTTCTTCAATGGAGCACTCTGGTCCAAAAAAATCACAAACAGAAACAAATATTTATTTACCTTTTCGAAATGAATCTGTTGCTGCACATTTCGTTACAAATCCCCACAAGTCCTTCTTCGTTAAACCGACTCAAAGGCATGTCTCGGCAATATTATCGTTTTTCATTCTTCCACCTTTTCGCCATGAGGAATCCATATCTGGGCTTTTTATCGCGTGAAAATGGCGAAAATGAGCTTTTTCCGAAGCTTTCCGGTCCGCAGTCAGTGCTGATACGCCGGAAAAGCCGCGCCCTGCCTCCATCGTTCCAAGAGCCCACCCGCTTCTCCACTGAATGCGGACCTGAAAAGCTTCGGAAAAGTTCATTTTCGTCGTTTTCATATGCTGAAAGTCAAGAGTGGATTTTTTATGGCGAGAAGGCTCCGAAAAGGTGAAAATCTGGGTGGCGAAGTTCTGCCGAGTGCCGTTGTGCCCTGACTTTTTCGTTCTATCAAGTTCTTCATCAATTCGTTTCTGCCTTTGACTTAGTTCTGGTCTATTTAGATAAACGTGATGCGCTCGTAATTGACCACATGTTTTTCACGCTGGACTAAACGATCGTCACTGCCATAATGGTGAGCCTCAGCTTCTCAATTGCCTTCAGTCTAGTAATCTATTTCAAACTGATTGCCTTAGTCTATCCATTGCAGGAAAGCGGACGGCTAACGAGCTTCGTCTCAACTCTGCAGGGTCTCTACTTTTTCTCGGCGCTTTTCGTCCTTTCAGTTTCGGCCATTATCCTGTGCGTCTGCGTTGTGTGCTGCTCGCACTTTATGGACTGTATATCGGAAAGAAAAAAGAAAAAGGTGCAATCAGCGGGAGTTGTATGACATGAAGTATTTATTATCTAGCGATGTATATTATGTATAAACGATAATACAAGGCAAAGACCCTACCCTAGCGAATCTACGGTGCCTCAGAGTTGTTCATGCCAGCGCCGTGCCAAAGCCGTTCCAGCTCCGTTCCAACGCCGCACCAGCGACGTGCTGGCGCCTTGCTGAAGTCTAGATTGACGGCTGCCGTATAGACTGATAGCTGTTTCGATGACGCCGGAAAGGACTTGTAATATTACTGGCACAGCTGGAACGGAGCTGGAACGGCGCTGGCACGACACTGGCACGAATAACTTAGCAGCCTAGATAAACTATACATAAAATTTTGGTCGTCGACATCTCCGATATCTGCCAATTTTATGGGAACAAACAGGACATATATGTACAAAATCAGCAAAAGCTTCCATAAAACAGGGCAAAGGTGAACATGGCCATAAGAAGAGCAAAACGAAAATAATGCACCATACGTAAGCGAAAAGTCCGCATTCACGATGTACATCTGTTTCGACGAGATTCTATAAATTCAAAGCATAACAGTATGTTGACATGCACCGTCCAAGGTTGCGCGTGTGACAACGCCGTGCCAGCGCCGTGCCAAGGCCGTGCCAGCGCCGTGGCAGCACCCACGTGAACACGCTTCAAATTGATAGGTCGACATTCCAGCACGGCACAAGCACATGGATCGGCGCTGGCACGCGCTACTCTGAACGCAGGCTAAAGAAAAAGGTTTACTTACTCTACACCGACTGCAAAACAATGCCACTGAGTGTCGACCAAAATTAAGGTCTGGAACGAATGGATATGGATGAAGCAACACTCTCTCACCAACTTTTTGCTTCGACCGAGCTAGTTCACGCTTTTTGATGTCCTGAAATACGGTTTTAAGAGAAAAGTTTGTTACGTACGTTCAGGAACACAGTGGGACTTTCACAACACATCTGCTATCATACTTGAGAAAGATATCCCAAAATTATCGAGTAAAAAATTAAGGTCGCTCTAGGGGGGTACACAAACATTCTATGAGTATTATTTAATTACCGCTGTGCTTCTCAAACATAGATGATTTCCTCCTAAAGAGATATCGTGATGTAACCTTTCCATGAAGTCCTGCTTTGAGATGACTATAATTTTTGTACTCATTTCGACAAAGATGATCGCTTTTTTGATCCAACCTTTTGATATTAACTCATTCATAAGTTAAATCCATGACGCGGAGAAGTTCTAGCCATTTTTAGGTGAACATGAAAAGATTAACCTACGAAAGTTTTTTCAAAAACAATTTCGATGATATAATAGGTAGAAGATGGTACCGATACCAATGCTAATTTTTTTTGCACAAACAAAGGTTGAATATAAAGTTTTGCCGGAATCGCGGCTGTACCTGACCTTTCCTCGTAACTGTGTGAAACTATCAATAATCCACAAAAAAGGCAAAATTGAGGTTTTGCCAGACATTTGCTTGACAGACAAATAGGAAAAAGTTGCAGATTCCCACGCCTTAAAATTGGAACAACAAAAAATCATTTTAGTTTCTTCTGTTTTTCTTGCAGGGACAAGGTGCGGTTTTTACGCATGGATAAAAAGATCACAAACTTCTCTGTGTTAGGAACATCCAACTTTTCAATCAATGAGTTCGGAGTTCCTTTCTCACAGTTGTAAAAACTTACCGTAAGCGTACAAGATTCTAAACCAGCAAATCCTCGTCTAATTACCGGACGGGCAAGATTATACCGTGTCGGTAATCTTCCACCAGATGCTATCATACGCCATTTCTTAACGTATCGAGCAGCCAAAGCTCTTTCCCTTCTAAATTTCTTCTGCTGATTATTAACAAAAAAATATCAAGAAAACCAGCTGACCCCTTTCTAGCCTTTCTTCTACCGTATACTACCTCAATGGTGCTGAAAAAGGCTCCTGCTGCGACTCCACCCGTCACAAGGATAAAGACATCCTGGAAATTCATATTCATATCTGCTGAATCTTTCAAAATTAGCGCTTTCGTAAAAATTATTAGCGCTTTCGTGGCTAACCCTCATATTCCAAAGGCTAAGCCTTGCTGGTGATTTATGTGTATCTGCAACACATTTTGCCTCGTTGTTGTCAATCCATTTGGCGTCAAGCATCTCCATGATCCCACCTAGGATAAGGTTATAAAAGATTAAAATTGTTGGAAGCTGAGCAAATTTCTCACTTTCAGCCATTCTCAATACGGCAGAAGTGATGTGAGGTGTCCATGGACTGTTTTTCTGCAGCCCAACTCCATATGCACTCCTTCCAAATAGAGCTCCACTAAATGATCAATAAATTATAAAAAAATAACGACAGAGTACCTGTGAAGGGCATACCGAGCTCGAAGATCGCAATGCCTCGATGCCTCAAAATCTAATCGCATCGAATCCCAAATAAATGCATCAAGAGACCTGTAAAAAGAAGGATGTGACGGAGACAAACTGATTTTGGAAGAAGGAAGTGAGACTGAGATGGGCTGATTCGTAAACACTAAAAGAAGAATGGTCATTTAAGGTTTGTTTTTTGAATTCATGTCTTTCTGACCTCCGCAAATATGGAGGACAGCAGCTTAGGCCCAAAAAAAGTTATGGTCGGAAATCAAAAGTTGCTGAAAATTTGCAAGAATGTAAAATGTTCAACAGAATAAAGAAGATCAAGGGTTGAATGGTCTGAAAATCAAAAAAATGTAAGAAACAAAGATTAACATAGTCAGAAACAAATAATGCAAGACCATGTTTCCAGTAGTCATGGGTTTGATCAATAACTCATAGAGGAATCAAGTTATGCTGTCGCCAATGGTTGCCCAGTTTCCAGATACAGTTTTTTGTTTACAGCACGATCATCTCTCAACTCACAAAGTAGCGTGCGCTTCAGTTTGTCGGTTCTTTATTAGCCAAATACATGACCCGCTTGCGTTTATCTACTTCAACAGAAAGTGGTTGAAAGAATAAACACTAACCCGTTGAGAAGAGCGGCTATAGCGTCAGAAACCTGAATTTGGATCATATGTTGTATTCGACGATGGAAAAATGCAAGAGATACCTTTTCCATGTTATGAGCTTCCATTTTGCGGAACATAGTTGACAATTCCACGTGCCGTTTGAAGTACTGATAAACATTAGAATTCAGCACTGTACCGAATGAATAGTTTGCCGAGGGATTGCGCAGCTAAAGTGCAGCTGTTGTCGTCTGATTGATTGCAAAACTGGGAAAAGGCAGAATCACCCTTGGATCGGTGATTCCAGTCAACCCCTTCTCGGGTTGGTCTAGCACTAGGAAAGCTGCCAGATTAGCAGTGTACGAGGCAACCATAATCATACAGAAGCCACACCAGACGATGCCAAGCACTCGAGCTGCACAACTCCGAGGAGTTTCTGAAATAAAAAGCAAATATTACGCTAAAAATTTTATTCTGTTACAACAGTCATAAAAGTGTTATATCGAAGTAATCAAACGACATGTAAAAAGTAGTGTAGTTTGCATGAAAAGGGGAACTTAAAATACGAATCATATTTGCAGATGGACGTTTACAACCGAGTGAAGTTTCTGCCACATGTTTGGCTCTGCATTCGATCTAATTTATTCTATGGAATAGGATAGTTTTGCATGTGTAAAAATTTCATTGTTGAGTGATCTTACTCTTAGTAATTCACGGTACTTACCATTATAAGTCATCCTATTCATGCTTTATTTTTGACTTCTACTTTTTCAGAAGGTCTCGAAATGTTAGCTGCAAAGACACGACTTGGAATACACATTTTACTCTAACTGCAGTAACAACAGCAAGACTTTTGAAGCATAAAAACACGTGAAAACAAAACTTTTAGACCATTTTCAAGGCATTGCATGTATTCCAAAAGGGCTGACTTGGTATGGTATTTTCATCAAGTTTGTACAAGAAAATTATGAAGAAGCGTCAGGGTAACAGTAAACTTACTTTCGGACACTCCACTATTCAATAGCACACCCCACACAAACCACATGGCCTCCCCGAAATTAACGCGGTCATTTTCAACTTCCTTCAGAAAAGGATCGTCCGGAGCCATTCGGCTCTGATCCATCTGCAAAAAAAAGATAAAGTATTTCGTCTTCTAAGGTAGAAACTTATTACCTTGTAGAAGCGATCAAAGGGAGATTTCAGATCGAGGCAGAATATCACGAGCCCAACCATGATAACCGAGATGAGGAGAGATGTCCAGAGGGAAGATTTCAGTGGTTGCAGAAATGACTGCATCGGGGAGTCGCGAGGGATCTGGGAAAACTGTATTGAATTTCTAGTTTGTTATTGAACTAAACTTACCGATTTCTCCAAGATGCGTATACCGTGGTATAACCAAGGCTCGGAAAAATCGATGTATCTAAAAATGCTAATAAATGGAGCAGCTGTTCATGAATGTTTTCAGAAGATGTTGCAAATGTTGAGGCGTAGATAGAAATTCATGCAAATTTTTTTAACTACAGTAGTCGAAGAAGACTTTTTAAATCGATATATTTGGGTGGCTTGTCATATAGGTGTCACTGTCACTTGTCCAAAAATAACAGCTCTCATATTGTTGTTTATGATACTGAGCCGTGATCCGAGATTGTTAACAGTTTATTGGCTGACGTTTCGGCAAGTCGCCTTCTTCAGAGCCTGGAATGGACAGAACGACTTGCAAACTATTCGACCAAACGTCTCTGCAGCTATGCAAACAAAACTCCTGGCGCATGAATCACATACACCGGCTCGCAAATGTTTAGAGGCCTTTTGGATCCATGCCAAAAGCCCTAAAATGAATCGTAAGGAAGAATGCCTATCCATCACTCGTGAACTCGCTCCGTACCTAGGTCAGATCTTCTGACCCGGCGGAGACGTTATAAATAGCCGTGCCATTAGCGTTTAACCATATTGCTCTCGCTCTGGCATCAGAATTCCATCGGCGTTTCAAAAGGTGAGTGTTTGGTCAGGCAGTTAATTATCGGTCTACCAAAGTCTTAGAGTTTTGTTTGCATAGCTGCAGAGACGTTTGGTCGAATAGTTTGCAAGTCGTTCTGTCCATTCCAGGCTCTGAAGAAGGCGACTTGCCGAAACGTCAGCCAATAAACTGTTAACAATCTCGGATCACGGCTCAGTATCATAAACAACAATATCAACACCATGCCGAGGTTCATATAGAGTCGCACATTTCAGCTCTCATATTGTGTGAAATTACATGCTCGCGGTCCCCGTCACTAACATTTGCTGCGCGTTGGCCCGAAAATGAGATCCTCACATTTCAATCGTGCTGGGACCCCTGCATATTAGTATGACTACAAAAATAAACGACACTAACTTTTCTCTCTCTGGATTTATAGTCATGCCTCCTATAGCAATGTCAGCTTGGTCGCTGTCCAGTTCTCCTAGTGCTCCGCTGAGAACGTAACCCTACAATATTTTTTCTATTTCGTCCATTAATAGGATATTCTCGGACCTTTTCTCCCAAAGTCACCGCTCCGTAGCTGTCGTTTAGATGTAGCGAAAATGTGAAGCTAGTGTCGATTGTTGTGTTAGGCTGAAACAAGGAATATTTTCACAGTACGGGTGCATTCCTGAATATACAAGATTCACTTACCTCCGGTAACGATATGTTGGAGAGAAGATCAATAGCATAACCCGCGCAGCAATAATGGTATGTATAGTTTACGGTATACCTTGGACAGGGATACCACGGTCCTGGCTGGAAATTATCGTGTTGGGGTTTTTGTGAAAGCTAAGAAAGGTTTAGCACTGACCACATGTATAGCATCAGCTGGGCCCAACTCTACCAAAACGGTCCCAAGATTTTTGCATTCAGCAAGTGAAATTATAGGAGTTACGTAGACGAAGGGCGGATCGTTGATGGTAACAACTCGAAGATGCTTAGGCAGAGTGATCTCCAAAGGTTTCCGACCGCCTCCTGCCCAGTGAATCGACTCTTCCGCAAGCTTTAGGTCGGAGCCGTGCTTGAAAATTGTCAGTTGAGCTCAAGAGTAGATCACACAGGTTGATGCTAGCTGTGAATGGCTCTCACAAATTTCTATATATATAAAGCTCAAAAATTGTCCGTTTGGAGGGTATGTGAGCTATAGAAACGCGCGCCGCTCAAATTGGGCTGAAAGTTTGTACACAGATGTTTTGGACCCCGTAGACGGTTCTAGGCTACTTTTTGCGGCAATTCACTGGGTCCTATTATCGATCTATTGATTTGTTTACGTTTTTATAAGGAATTGAAGAGTTATCATGTTTAATCAAGTTGCCATAGTCATGTAAAGGAGGGCTGCGAAGCTCATTTTCACCTCAAGATCACGAGGATGCGGTTTCGAAGTAGATGTTCCAGGGTAAGTTATCCAGACATATAAAAAAGGGGGGGGGCTTTCAGTGCAGAAGAACAATGGCCCGGTCTGGACCGGGAAAACCGACTAGTGAATAATAAAAAACATTAAAGTAAATAGGAAGGAGGAAGAGGGAGGTACTCAAGAATAACTCTTGCTAGTAACGAAGATGTTTATGGACAAAAAAGTGCAGGTAGGGGACTACATAGGCATGAAATCATACAAACAAACTCTTCCGTATGCGCTGAAAGTTTCCGGCAAGGTGTTCAACATTTTCAGGCAGAAAATCAGGCTTCAAAAAAATCAGTCTAGAACTATCAATTATCCAAGTTTGGACAGCTATCACAAAAGATGGAGGGACCAGAAGGGTCTCAGGCCCCGGACAGATTCGCTCAAAAGTGCCCAAAAATACTCAAAAGCGCCTGAAAGCACCCAAAAGCGCCCAATACTCTAATGTCTCTTCACTTTCAAGGAGAGGAGAGATAGAGAAATTGAAGAGAGGTTAGGGAAATTAGGGCGCTTTTGGGCCGGTTTTGGGCGCTTTTGTGTGCTTTTGGGAGCTTTTGAGCGAAGTTCGGGAGGGCCTCACGAAAAAATTTTTTTTGATTAATTGCCAGAGCTAGCTAGATACAATTCCCTTGACCTATGTGTTTTCCGATTCCACTCACCAGCACTCCAACTTCCTTGTATCCTTCGTTGAAGTTCAGAATGTCGTAGTCTACGCTAACCCTTTCACACTGATCGTTAAAGGTGATCTTGCTTGTGGATGTAGAGCAGATGGCCCTAAAGGGATGCATGGGAATGCTTAAGCAAGATTTAGAACTAAAATTTTCAAGTTTTTTTCTGGGTACTGTATATTGAAGTAAACACGCGTTTTCAAAAACTCGACAGAATCTAACCTGGTTTTTACTCAAAAAATTGATTGATCCCATATGTGATCGAAAGTATGAGTGTTCCAAATGTTAAATTTTATATCCTCTACTCATTAAATATAGATCTTACCTGTAAAACTCTGGTCCGTGATCTGTTAACCATTTCACATTACTGCCATCTTTTTCGCATCCAGACGGCGGATGAATGGGCTCGTCCAAAGAGTCCAAGAACTTCAGTCCACTCTTGATTGACGCAAAAGAATTACGCAAGGCTGACAGAGGTGTTTGGCTGAGTCGACTGGCGATGGCACCTAAATCTTGGGCTTGCAAGAAATTGAGAGAACACTCATTGTGGTCATATTAATTAAAATAGCTGGGTTGCCGTAACCGTAGCTACATTTGAAAATCTGAAAATTCGAAAAAAATATGGGTTTAAAAATACGTTATCTTTGTCACTACAAATTTTGAAGGTCTGTTTGTTTTGTAGATATCTGAGACGTCTATAGGTCAGTGTTTCCCAAAATAGTGTTTCTAAAGAATTAGAGTGGTTGCATATAGATGTGCTTGAAAGGTAGCAAATTCAATTCAGATAATCGTTTCATATTGCATTCTCCATTTAGAAAAAATATTTTGCCGGTAAAATTCAAGGTAGATAACGTATGGTAGCATTTTCGTGAAATGTGTAAATCAAGTAGCATTTTCTCAAAGTGAACAAATCATCTGAGAAATTATCATGGATTTGCAGAAGTACATACCATATCCGCTGTCAGTCTGCTAACTCTTGTTTGTAATATGGAAACCCTAGAACAAATCTGGAGAAACCAAAAGCCGATAAAATAATTACAAGAATAAATTTTGAATTCTTTCCAACCTCCTGCAACGACAAGAGATACTATCGACAGAAGATATCTGAATGTGACATTTTCACATCATTTTAATGTACCATTTATTGTATCATACTAACTCCTTCAAACTCGTTGGACTTACACTCCTCCTGGATTTCTCATATCTTCCTCTCCTCACCCTTTAAGACTCTTCATATTTTCCTTTCATTCCTCACTAAGAAGGGTACGATACTTGGTGTCCGTGGCCTTTTAAGATGAGCTGTATACCATTATACTCGTCTTAGAGTGCTGAATTCCGAATCTAATTTCCATTTTTGCTAATCTTTTCTCTAAAAAAAGTAATGAAGGTTTTTCACGGGAAGGAAATGTGGTCGGAATGCCAAATCCGACGCTATGATGTGGTGCAGTGGCTAGTGTGATAGCCTCACAAGTTAGTGTAGGTTTAGGTTCGAGTCCTTTTGTGTTTTTCAGTTTTGCATTACTTCAATCAAGCTTTTTGAAAGTTTTGCAGCCTCGGCCATATTTTTCTTGGACGACCATTGACGCAAAATCCTTCATAAGTTCTATTAGAAAAACGAAACGGAAGTCAGATCCAGGATAAGCGTTCGAAGACGAGTGTGATGGTATACGTTTCATCTCAAAAGGCCACGGACATCAAGTATCGTTCTCTTGTAGTCTACTCTCAGCCATCATCACAAACCCAGAACTTTTGCAGCTTTCTTAACAACTATTGCGTTGGGCCGCCAAGTAAGCTACACTAACGATCTATTCTTAGGCCCGAAACCGGTTGTTTGTGAAATTTAGATATAAATCTCAATCTCTTGCTTTCCCTCGATTTCATTTTGATCTCTAGATACACTCTTTCTACTTTGTATGATTAAATAAGCTGGTATATAAGCTTCTGGTTTGCTTACAATACACCTACAGTCACCTGGATAGTTACCGTGCTGATTAAAGGAATTTTCTAAATGGTCTAAAGCACGCATCACACCTTCATACAAAATACTGTATCGAATAAGGGATCAAGAAGATAAGAACCGCTTTGTCAAAAAAAAACAAAAGGTGCAGAGTTTCCCGATGTATTGTGGAATATCGATAAGCAGATTTGACTGAAAGTAATGATGAACGTTTTACAATCACGTACCATCGGGAATGTTGCTTGCTTTGCTGGCATCTTCGTTCACTATCCAGACTTTGCGTTTCTCAGCGACTTCCGCAGCTGTGAAAATCAGGCTTGCATGGGGCTTTCTAAATTGTAAACGCTGATGACATACTTAAATGAATCAATGGCAATAAAAATACGCATAATAGTTGTTCCATTTACAAATATGTACCCTAAATCTTGCGGATACGCTCATAAAAATAATTGAAGTTCTTGACTTCCGATTTGGTAGGTTCCATTTTTGAGAAGAATGGAGCTTATTGTTCTTAGTTAAAGACCACTGAAGAACTCTTTTCCAATTTTTGCACTCTTTTTCTCGATTTTGCTTTAGGGCCTCACATTTACGCTTCACAGGCTGAAGTTGGAAATCCTACGTGCGATTCCTAAATCTAGTCATTTCACTTGATCATGTGTGTAACCGCACACAGCGTCCTTCTTTGCCGTCCAAGGAAAAAATACTGACAATGAGGAAACATTGGGGACTGCTAACCCGAAGGGGTTTCATGTCCAAAAATTCAGGAATGGGACGGCATAGAGAGCACCGTTTGCAGTTACAAATTTAATGATGTGAATGACTATGCGGGGGTGAGGAATGAACACCTCAATTAGGCACCGCCTCCGCGGCCTACTGGTCCCAAGACGATGCATAAAAGTACGACGAAAGGACCAGCAGTCCGCGGAGGCGAGGCCTAATTGAGGTGTTCGTTCTACTCTCCCACAATGACAAGGAAGCCAACGAAGATGTAAATGTCTCTACGTTTTGGAGATGCCATGAAACAGGAAAGTCCAAACATTGAATTTTCTTTGTGTTTAATTCATCTCCTTTCCCGCTCATAATCAATCTTTTTCTAAATTCAGTCAAATTAACCCGACATTTTCCTTTTCATTTATTAGTTTGGATATTTTTAGTCGACTTTAATTTTGCCGATAGATGCACAGGGAAGGAATTTCTGCTGCACTATTTTTAGAAATTCGTAACTTCTTTTTTCTTCAAACAATAGTTTCTTAGCGGCCTTTTATTGAGCAAGCATTGCCTAGAAACAAGCGATGAAAGAAAATTACTCAAGTTTCAAGTTTCCTACGTTTGGTTGTGAAAATTCTGGAACTTGCAATCGAAGTCGGTGCTATAGGATCTACTACCTACACTTTATTAGACAAAGTTTATGCTGATTGAACGTCTAAAAAGTTATGATCTTTGAGCAACAAACCATGATTGATTTTTGGGCATTTTTTCCGAGAATCCTAATTTCTCATAAAGACTTTCAATCGGCACAGATCTTGCTCAGTTAGAAAGAGCAGTAATGAAACCTATAACACCGACTGCTTTGAGTTTTAGGCATTTTTCAGATTTCTTACGACCAGACTTGGAATCAAAATTTGAGTAATTTTTTTTCTACCGCTTTTCTCTCCTAAAACTGTTGTGAAGAACGTACATATTTACTCTTTTAAAAATGAATGGAAACGCACTGATGAAAAGAGAGTAAAAGAGAGAGAGATTCATTTGATTTTGAGAACAAAGATTATGGATTCTTGAAAATGGTACGACAAAACTTTGTGCCAGTAAGTTGTAAATCATTTATTTGACGAAAGCTTTCAAACAATATTCTATCGTCACTACCAATTTCGCGACTGAAAGTATTCAATTCAATAAAGAAAAGTTAATAAGTCTCGAAGAATAATCTGAAATGAATTTAGAAAAAAACTATTATGAGCAGAAAAGGAATTGAAATCACACACAAAGGAAATTCGAAATCAAGACTTTTGTTTCACAGTATTTTTCGAATGGCAAAACTTCCAGGCCATTCTAATATTTTTTGGCTTCTCAGACTTCTTCAAGCTCATTCTAAGACGTTCTGTTTGATCGAATAAAATTCAAATTCTAAAACTGCCACTCTCTAACTATTAACAAACTATAACCATTATATTAATAACATTTTTGAATAATCAACGCACATTTTAGCTATTTTCTCCCTATTTAACATGTACAAAGTTCTGAAAGAGAAAGAATTCCCTACGAACTTACGTTGCATAGAGTACTACAATGTTTGAAGTTACTTCTTCAAATCCAGCAGCAAGTGAGGCGTTTAGCGAACTGTTGACCTCAAGTTCTATGTAACTTTGCACCTGTAAAGCAGATTTTGAGCTATACCAAGGTTCTAGGAAGACTATCTCATTCGTTGTTTTGATTTATTCGACTTAACAAGAGCTTTTTTAAAAAACAAATCATGATTTTCGAGGTCATAACTATGATTGCAGTGAAGCTCAAAGATTAGGGACTCACATGTATTTTGTATTTCTTTCTTTTCCTCTCAAATAGTTCCACGAACTGTTCACCATTCCTATCTCCTTTTACGCTGACGACCACGACCTATAATCATTATTATTCAAACAGTTTTATAATCATCCATGTTGAGAGAGACGAAAAAGAGAAGAGGACAAGATTCAAAAAGCGCTTATCACCTCTAATTGCGTGGAGTTGTTTTTAATGAGCTAAATGGGCTAAAAAATCTGTTTTCAATTTCGAAAGGCAGCCTCCTGCCTCTAAAACCATTTTATTTGTGCAAAAAATGCAAATGCCCTCCATTGAGCCCCCTTCGGTGACATAGAATTCAAAATTTTCAAAAAAACTGGAAATTCCGAAAAATTCAGGATGTGGTAAGTGATATGACGTTTCGTTCAAATTTCCCCGTCCTCAACGCTCTCAAAATTTTTTTCATTTTCATACCTGACGATAGTCCAAACGCCTGAGTAAGTTGAGAAATACGAATGATTCGTCTGCATAGGAAGGTGTCGGACGCACAAAGATTGGATAAATTTTCTGTGCGGAAAAAAATCATTCCACATCAATCGTACAGCATTAGCCTGTCCTAATTGTCATACCTTCTTGCTAAACTCCGACTCCCTGACCATAACTCCAACGGTAGGAATTCCATAGAATCCGAGAGCATAGGCAGCTGAAGATACCCTTGACAAATATTCAGGCTGAGTCTCTCGATTCAGAGACGGAGCATAGATAACAACGGCTATGGAACGATTAATGACCTGATCGCAGACCACTTCGTCTGTGAGTTCGAGCCGGTTGGCACTGCTAAAATCTTATATGTTCATTACACTTTTCTAATTAGGTTCGATGTTCTTACGGTTTGTTTCGGAGCACGCCGCCATCGATGTACTCTGCCAAAATCGTGTAATTTCCCAATTGAGTTGTTGCACTCTCGAAAATCTCCCAGTAAGCGGTCTGCAAACGAGTTTTCGTTTTATTTCGACCAGATACCGGTGCTTTTTCTTGATTTGGAAATACCACCGAGAGCTAACTTGACCAAAATCCCAATTATAGGCCACTAATGTATCCTTTCAATCGAGCTAATGTAACCATAAACCTTCGAAAAATCTAACTAAATACCCTGAGAAAGTGAAAAATCACGTAGAAGTGAAAATGGCAAAGATTTCGTGGATATAAGGAAAGTCTCTTTCCTCGGATGGCAAAAGGAGAATTTTAGGATCTATTTTATGAACTTGCACACTTACTCCAAGTTGGCTACTAAACATTTGCCATTTGAGGAAAATATCTTTCTTTATTTCCATGGAATCTTCGCTATTTTTCATCAACATGATTTATTTACTGAATCCATAAAATAGTTTCGAAATAGTATTAAAAAATAAATTGGAGCAAGACTCGGAGCTGATTTAAATTTGACTTCTCTTAACTTTCCCTGCTGAAGTTCTTTTCAAGCGATGTTTTGTTCGAACATAAATTATATTTTCCAATAAAATCCGCATTTCTAGGCTAAAAGAAGAAGGTAGGAATATGGGTTCAGTATATTGCAATATTTTACATTAGCATTTCGAAAATTCAAGCATAATTTTGTAGACTCACAGAATCGGAAAAAAGGAAAAAGTCAATACGTGGGCAAGTGATTCAATTCATGCAAGAGTATTGAGGCTTATTGTTGGAAAAGTATATGAATACGAAAATTGGAATTCCAATCCCCCCAGGTTATGAAAAAGTGTTCTTGAATCACAGATTAGTGTATCAGAACAGGCACTTCAGCATTGTTATCTACAGTTCTTTCCAGCCCTACACCCACAAAAGCAAAAGGGTAGTTTCATCCCTCACATCCCCCTCCGTTGCCCGTCGCCCCCCACCCCGTTTCGAAATCTACTAAAGTAGGACGTAAACAATATGTAAGTTTAGCACAAGTACATGCTTGGTACATGCGCTGTCTAGTCCTTGGAATGTTGTGTTTTATGAAAGAACAGAATGATTTTTTTTATAACAGCAGCGATCGGAACACTTGATAGAACCTCGAACAAGTGCTTTGATTGATGCAAAGGAAATCATTCTCGAGAAGAAGTTTTTATTTTCATCTTTCTGCTTTTACTATAACAAATGAAGCAAGCAGAGTTTTGCAATCGTGAAGACGAACTTTTGATTTTTCCGACGACAACTACGGTACATGGAAGCCTAAATGCAGAACCTCGGAAAACTATATAAATTTTTGAGCAACTAGAGTGGTTGTGAGAATAGGCAGAGTTATTAGTTACGCTTGGATAAAGTACTGGATTGCTGCGAAAATAATAAGAATTTGCGAGATCTCGCTTTACGTGCTATAAGTTTTTGAAGAATATACAATCTTCGATGCGATAAAGACTATCCCCTATACTCATATCACAAACGAGCAGAAAAACATTTGTTGATGAACAAAAATGTTCTTTTCTGAAACCTTGTTTCAAACAAATCATGACTCTCTTTAAAATTTGTTACTGTAAAGGATGAATAGCTTATCCTCTGGCCGCAAGACAGTAGTACAAAGAAGATGGAAAGTTCTTGGACAAAAAAGACTTGTGAAAGGAAGATACTCGAATTCCAAAATTGTAAACATTTTCTCATTTTCTCTTACATAGTACAGTAGCGGGTTTCCAAAAGAATGTCTTCACTCGGGCAATTCTGGTCAGAAAAGTAAATGCGATGAAATTCTAATCTCGAGTGCAGATGTTGGATATTCTGAATTTCTAATAGACATCAGCGAGAGCATAAAAAGAGCTTCTTAATATCTTAAATTTGCTTCAAAGAAGAAAATTTGATAAGAAAAGCTGTTCCAAATAAAGGCCTCGAAAAAAGCTCATTAGTTTTTTCCGGGCCAATCCATTCAAGGCACGAGGTGGCTTTTGGAAATTGCGAAAAACCCACTTGACGTGAAATATTACGGAGTCCCCTTGACTTCAAACCCTAAACGTAAATAAAACCTTCAAAAAACGAAACGTCGACTAAGAAAAACTTTACAATTTTTATGTCTTTCCCCCCAGAACGATACCCCTTCGCTTTTTGTCGCAAAACGATATCCAGCTTGCTTAGCCTGCGTCGAGCCCTGGATCTATTATTATTGAAACATCGTTAGGATAAATTTGAGGCATGGCAATCCCAGGAGGAAGAGATCTCGATACTTTGCTGCAAGACCTCATCCAAATGTTGTTTGAATTTTTCTTTCTGGTTGGATGGACCAAATAATACAGCTTCCTTCTACCTCCTTTAAAGTTATTGTTTTGATGAAAATTATAACTCGATATCTAATATGTAATACTGTTATCTTTCGAAAGGTGTGAGCCATTTACCTTCACAGAATGAACATGATCTTCGAAATTATGTTCGCCAAATATAAGTACAGCAATCTTCAGCGTGTTCTTGGCATTATTGAGGTGGGTGAGCAAAAGTAGAGCTGCCCACAGCGCTTGAATAATCATAGCTTAACGTGGGTCGAAGAGGTTCGACTATGGAAGTAGATGATGATTGTTAGGGATGAGCAGATGCGACACAGGGAGTGCACGAATCGAGGAAACCGAGGACGGCATGCCGACAAACGAAATGACTCCCGTCCGCCTAGGTAATGGGCCTTAGACGCGAACCATCGCTTGTGCGAAGTAGGCTTCCGACATGGATTACATCTAAATGGAGTGCTTATTCATCGATTTTGAGGCTAAGTAGCGCTTTGGATTTCTTGAATGCCGCAAAAATGGTTCGAAAAGGACGGTGCGTAAGTAAAGGGCTGACCTATTCAATAATACGAATGATAGCAATGATAATCTGATAATAAGAGTACAAGAGGTTTTCAGAATATTTTAGATCTATGTTATTTTTGTATTGTATTACACAGATCAATGAACAAAAAACGTACGCAACATCAAATGGTCCAAAAAATTACAGTAGTAAGCATAGCAATGATATATGAGAGTAATAGTAGTGTCAGTAGTACTAATAATAACAGTAATAATTGTAGCAATGACATTAGCGATGAATTCAAAATTATTTCAAACCACAGGTACCAAGAAAGAGCGGGGCCCGGGCCCCTTGAGAGTGATATTCTTGTAGGTGGTTTACATGGGTAATGACACTGTGCAAAAATTGTCCTCACACTTTATTCTAACCCGCTAAATATCAAAATGTTTTTTGGTTCTCAAAAATTCAAATTAACCCTGAAGGATTTTGTGCGACTGTGGCTCCCGCCACGCCTTATTTTTCATAGAGGTTCGGGCATATCCTAAAACATTTGAGAAGCGCACGAAAAAGTATATTTGTAGCATGCCAAAGCCACTCCTTAAATTAAAAAAATTGTGTCCCCCCCCCGTCCCCCCAAAAGAAGTTGATTTCTCGGACCTCTGTTGGCATAAACTTATTAGCCAATGGAAATTCAGCAGTGGTGAGGGGTTAACTTTTTCGAATTACTTTCTCAACAAATGAGCGAAAGATGCTTGATCCGAGAAAGCAAAAACTTTTTTGGAAATATTTTGTTGATTTTAGAATGTTATGACGACACATTCAAGCAAAATCTTATGCTCAGCTTTTATCAAATTCATCTACTCTTAGATCTCGCCAAGTAAACAAATTTCATTTCTAAGAATTCTAGCAGTTGTTTTCTTTTCCGTATAAAACAAGTGATAAACACCACTTGTGTCTCAACACTTCCTCGGTTCAGCAAAAAATTCAACTACATGAAAGGAGCAGATGAGAGCTTCGTTCCGAATTGCAGAAAAACATCGAAGACTCAATTATGTTCATGGAATTGTAGAATAGGTTGTTGAATTAATGGCGGAAAAAGCGTTCAGAACAGCTTCCGACGCTCAAAAGAAGTTTTAGTGCTTCGAATTTGGTTTTTGAACCATCTCTCCAAGGAAGTTCCTGTGCTTCGAGTTTGGTTTTTGAACCATCGGTCATCTTCTCATCAATTCTGGAAATGAGACGCTAGAGAGAAGCTGATATTGTCACCAACAAATTGTTCAGTTGTAGTGGTACTAACTTCTTCTGTATTGTATCTCGGTAAGGATTCTTTTCGTATACTGAAACACAAGATGCACACTCAGATTCTAAACTCTAAAAACACTGGGAAGGACTTTGCGCACGGCTTACACCTAACTTATTATTTCATTGGTTCAGTGTGCTCCAAAGTATCTTTTTCTCGGAATTCTGCGAACATAGATTTCACCGAGCGCGGTATCTGACGAACTTTGAGAATAGAACACGCTTACTTCCAGTTATTTTTCCTTGTTCCCTTGTCTATTTTGATTTTATTGATAACTGTTAGTTGATAGTGAACATTTCTGCAGACTGTTACGCTGAAAAAGGACTTGCTGAGAAGCTATTAGTAAGATAGACGTCGATTGTCGCGTACAGTCTGCTGGCTCACAATTAACTCACCAATGACTCGAGGATGGGTTCATTTCCACATAAAAAAATTATTTTTTCCAATGTGCACGTAGATATGATGTACGTAATTTGATGGTTTTCAGTTTTTTCTTACAATCCTAAGACTAATCTATGTAGGTTAGTATACAATTATCATAAGACCCCTATGTGCTCCTATTTTCTAGAACTGAAATTATTCTCTGCGTGTTCTACTCAAGTTATGGCCATGTTATTCAATGGGCAAGTTGCCAAGAACGTGCATAGGTTGCAACCAAGACATGAATAAGAAATGTGGAAGATGATAGGTTTATAGCGACTTGTTGGATGATTGTATGCTATGTTAATCATCCCTTGAAGAATAATTTCAATCATCATTAGGGTTCGGACTGCCTATTCTCAGGTCCGGCGCAGATCATCTGGAAGCAAGCTGGACATGTTTTCGGGGCGAAAAAGCAAACGGGATATCGTTTTTATGGGTCCGAAAAAACACAAGTAAGTTTGGTTTTTTAGTCGACGTTTCCGATAAGGGTCAAAGAGGCTTCGTAAGATTTTGTGAAAGTTGGAGTGGGGGGCCTCGTTTTCAAAAAGGACAGGAACGGACCCATGCCAGGCTTTTAGAGGACTAGATTATCGTAAACTACATCAAAGTTCGAAGATTTTCTAGTTATGGCTAATGATGAAAAAAGCCCACTCGTTTAAAGTTTTGGGACCAAATGTGGATAGATAATTGAGAAGCGAGACTGCCAAAAAACTGAATGATACTTTATTCTAACCAGTATAACAATACACCAGAGTCCCATCGTCCGTTTTCTACATAGAATTCCGCTCTGATAAAACCATTTATACAAACGCAATTTGCAGAAAAAAGAAGCATATGTAAGCCAACTAAGCCAACCGGTCTCTGGACATAATTGTCTATCCATAACGCGATACCATTTATCAAGATAATCCATTGCTATAAAAGCACCACAGCTCTAGGTGTAGTTCATTTTTTATAGCATATGGCACGAAAGGAGGTCCCATCAGCAGAAATGAAGCCTCTACTGAAGACCGCGAAGGAAAGCAGTGCGTCAGCTGGTCGTGCAGGCGAAGAGAAGCATGTGAAGATTGTTGCTGATCAAAAGGCTGAGAAGAAGACGGCGTTGGCCGAACAAAAAGTTGAGAAATCAACTCCAGCACTAAGAGTGCAGAAAACGCCGGGTTTCACAGCACCATCGCAAAGCACACAGTCACAGTCTCCAGAAAGCAGAGATTTATGTGAGCTGAAACTCGTCTTTTACACTAGTCTCAAATTTGCTTTTCAGACGCTCCTGAACAGATTAAAGTGTTGCATATCAACGACATAATGGAAGCTTCAGTATCTCCGTCGTCAAGAGCAGTGTAAGTGGTGCTTTTAACTGTTTCTGAAATCGCCGAGCATCGCCCAACATGCTCTACCGTAGCACCACACTTTGAAGAGCCTGCCTGATGCAGAGTTAGTGACATTGACGAGCTCATCTGCTCGAGATCAAACAGTCCGACAGGACGTACCATAGTTGAGCAACACCTTGTGCACTGATGTCGACTGAATTCATTTTTAGTGCCAGCGATCGATGCGAGAGAGGGATGGAGGGGAGCGGTACGGCTTAGGAGTTACAATTTTTCGCGAAGACGCCGCAGCGACGTCAAACAAAAAGGACTCAGCTTCCGTCAGTACTCCTGTCGCTTAGTTACTTACGGGATCGAGTTATGTGTCTGCCCCCCCCCCTTTACCACTCCCCATCCTCTACTGTGGCGCCGTGCCACTTTAGCACCGGACAGTTTTTGTGGGGCACAAATGACGCGGCGAGAGGGTGCCGCGCGCGGTGTGACTGCTGACCCGTAGACGGTTGTGGGACCATGATGATGCGGGGAGTACCCTATAGGGGCGATATTTATCAATCTCCCACACGCTGTTCGGGCCATTATTAACGAGTGCTCGGACACGAGAGCACCACCATCATGATTCATGAAAGTTTGGAGCGCGTGGTCCAAACAGACAGCAGAGCCCGACCTATCGAGATCGGGCACGATCGGGCACCTGCCAGCCCGATATCGTCAAACTTGCCAGATCGGACTATATTTTTAAACAGACAAGAGCCCGATCACCAGCTTGGCTTCGTGTATCGCGCGCGCCAGTGCCCACGATGCGGGCTGCGACCTGTATAGGAACCTCTTTCTATATAGAAGATTGATAAATACCGTGGGCCTGCGGCATAGCTCGCGCGATTGCAAAGAATTGCTATCGTTGCTAACTCGCAATAATGTTACTGATCCACCTGCGCAGATGCCGAATTCAGAGGGTGCGCTTCTCCTAAGTTGGTGCAAGCGCGTCGAATTTTGCACTGAGAGTGCGCATACGAAGGACTACGAGCCATGATAACAATGATAAGTTCCGCATCCGCTCGGGGCATGACCGATACCATAAGCATGCGCTCCTTATTCAGAACTAGTTGGCTTTCCCGGTCCAGCCCGGGCCTTGTTCCGTTCACTTGCACTGCAAGCCCCCCCCCCCCCTTATATGTTAGATGACTTACCCTAGGGACATCCGCTTCAAACCGCATCCTCGTGATAATGAGGTTAAAATGAGCTTCACCGCCCTCCTTTACAGATTATGAGAAAATGCTTGACTGAACATGATAAGCCTTCAATTCCTTAGAAAAACGTAAACAAATCAATAAATCGATAGAAGGACCAAACGAATCGCCGCAAAAAGTAGCCTATCATCTGCGCAAGGGTCGAAAACATATGTGTGCAAAGTTTCAGCTGAATTGGTTGAGCGGCGCGCATTTCTATAACGCACATACCCTCCAAACTGACAATTTTTGAGTTTTATATATATATATATATAGATATGTGCGACCACAATCAAGATAAAACGATAATGGTAAAATTTATGACTCCAGCTCTTTGGTAATAATTGTTAAGATGAATTCGTCCTTAGAAGTTACGGATTAGTACAGGGATGTTTTATCGCGTACTGGTATATGTTATATGAGACTTCGGAAGGCTATACTCACATCCTCTGCGGATGATCGAGCATCCGACGACGCGCCATCAGCTAGAGTTTTAGCTGCTAGTTAGACCATAAGACCTAAAAAGCAAGACTTCAGCTGTGTTTCTGAGCTAGAGCTCAGAAACACAGCTGAAGTCTTGCTTTTTTGCTGTCGTATATTACAAGTACATTAGCAGGCGTATCCGGCCCGTTCGGACCGTTGGTTCAGATTGGGGGTGGAGGATGCATAATATAAGTTCAAAGCTCTTTTCGTTTCCTTCCTTTTATCGCAGATGCCTCAGGACGCCTTTTAGGAAAAAAAACGACAAGTTTGGGAGAAGACTCCTTAAAAATTGCTTCACACTGTGCACTTACAACGCCAAGATAGTCTTCACATAAGTTAACCTTCGCGCTCGTTTCAACGCTGCAGAGCGCATTAAAGGCCGTCATCGCTTTGCAGGAAATGAAGGTCAAAACGAAAGACAGCGATAGTTGAGTGATGGAACCCTAATTATTCATGTTGAGAAAGATTCACCACTAAACGTTGGAGACGTTAGCTTTATCCTCCACCTTCTGTTGCCCTTCGATTCGCATCCTTTCACCTCGACTGGCCATTCCATGTTTACGACCTCCTCGTCAGAAGACCAATGGCATCATCGACTACTACTTTCCAACAGATGATGAGTAGAACTCGACGCTCTCTAAAGTGGAGGAAAACTCTGTAGCGAGAATTCTTTTACAGGTTTGTCAACTTTGACGCAAAAATCGGGATGTACTCGAAGAGGCGTAAGATGTATAAGATCGGGAAGGAATTTGAATGCGAGCTCCGGGAGGAGATCAATAACCCTTTCAGTCTTCTCTCCTCCGCATGATAGCTTCCATGGTAGCTTTATCTTCATGAACAACGCCAGTGTGCATATGAAACTCTCAACGGAATGACTCACGCGGAAATTGATTGGAATTCATCAAAAATGAGCTCGCTCGATGTTTCAGCAGTTCCAAATTTTTGCAGTGGCTCCGATTACCACCTTCATGAGAAAAGTCGATTCACTCAATAGCTCAAGAAGATCTGCCACAGTTCTGCGAAAAGAAATAAGATTGTAGACGGTGACAGGCTGGAGGAGCTCACATCAACTTGCGATTAGTCCATCCTGGAGGACCCGTACATGATTTACGATCGTTTTTGAGCTTACAGAGTTTACGCCTCAGTATATTGCGCGAGAGTTTTGGTACACATCTCAACGATAATCAAAGAGTTGCTCATAAGAAGAATAGTTCCGAGGAAAGATCCGAACGCAACTCATCTTGATCCACAGCAGTAAGCGCAGCTGGAACAGCTAGCAGAAGGGTCTCTGAAAGTATAAGCAAACGAAGATATCGAGAGCAGCCGAAAAAGGAAAAGTCTGAAGACGCGCCGAAAGGACCTTTCAGGTATCACGCTTTGATGGGAACACTATTGAAAAAAGGCGGGGTCCCGATTTCTTTCCAACAAAGGACGGATATGGCAAAGAACATCTCTACGAACTTCTTTCGCTCATCAGCTCCGTGCCATTGACCGTCATTCCCAGTGGAAAAGTATCAGGACGGATTAGTCGTTCTCAGCTACTAGACACATAATGGGGGCATTTTGATTCAAACCTAAGCAGCCCGTTAACTTTAGCATTGGGCCAACTGGCGGCCTACGCGGCGTACACGGCATACGCTACATACACACACGTGCATTAAGATGTGGGGCGTACGCTGCGTACTCACATAGGTCGCGTACGCTGTGCAATCTTGTCCAACCCATAGAGCACAACACTTTCAGCCTTCTCTAGTTTCCACATGAACTTAGTTTCAATTTCTGCGTCACTCCCTGCTATGTTTCTCCCTAAGAGGTACAATTTTCCGCAAATTTCTGCAAAACAGAACAAGCATTTTTTCTTGGAATGAATGACGCCTAGCGAAAAAGAAAAGCTTAGAAAACACAATCAGTTTTGAAATTATGTCACAAAGTCCACTCTATGTTCAGTATGCCTGTGCTTTGTGTTGCACAACCCTTTCAGGAACATTATAGCGTAAATCGAAGACTATGGATGAAGCCCTGCCTCAAGAACGCTGGATTTTGCAAAATTCAGCTATGTGGACTACTTGAGGGTCATAGAGGATTGCCGGGAGTATCTCATGCCTCATCGTAACCTTCGTCAAATACGAGAAAGCGTTTGACAGCGTCGAGAAGAAATTCTATAGCGCTAATGATCAAGGATCAAGGAGTACTCCCAACTCGCATGAGGAAGTCGACCGAATTTCAAATCCGTGCAACATCGATGCAATAACTTCTTCGCCGCCATCTCAAGTAATTGCATTCGACAAAGCAAGACAATTGCCGAAGCTGTTTACCGCGGCGCTGCAGTGGGTATGAAGTAAGTGGAAAGAGGCATACGAGACGGTGGAAGGGTCCTCTTAAGCCTTCGCTTTGAGATATCGTTCTCATTTCGAAGAATATCACTGAAATGCAGACGGTGCTGAGAAGTAAACGAAGAAGGGGACGCGACTAAATCGGGGAAAGACCTATCATAAGAAACGCCTTATGTGAGATGTGGAAGTGAAACTGAAAGGCACATTCATCACGAAAACTTCTTCTTTAGTATCCTGTGTGCTCTAGAGTACGGAAAACAATAAGGGGAAAAACCTTAGCATGAGAAGAAGAGCCTGGCCCCCTTTGGACCTCTGATGGCAGCCACCAACCAGCTGACAAACTCGGCGTTTCAAGCCCATTTGTCCGACTCGGTGTTTTCTCAGCGCGTACACCTAGGCCGACACTAATTAGAGTCGAAAGCCCTTTGGACCACCCATCTACAAAGCGTTTGAGCGCAGTTTTCTGAAAATGACCCGATTACAAGTCTCGTCGGAGTTCGCAGAACGTATATGAGAAAAGTGTTCCCTCTCCGCGATTTAGTAAAGGCGAGAGCGAAGCACTTTCGGGAACTCAGAACGAGAAAAGGATCGACAAGCGGTTTGACAAAAACTGGTGGATCGTCGTTAGGGGATCTGTAAGAAGAGGCAAAAGTCGACAGTGAGCATTTTGCGGCCTACCCCTACAACTATTTGAATTCCATTTACCTCTCTCCTGTCCCTAAGCCCTGAAAGCGACGTCACTAGAAACCAGTGCATTGAAAACCCCTAACATTAACATCAGGGAGGGGAAAAGAGAACAGCTTGAAAGAGGCTTCATAATTTTAAGCTCTGGACATCAGCATTTCTCGCTTCTATCCACATGCAAGTGTTGCTACTACTCCTTTGCTGTAAACATATTGATCAGGAGCGAGAAGTTGCACAAGCCGTATTTTCAGTCCCTTGTATGATTGTTAATTACTGACAATCCCCTGATGCCAACGTCTTATCTTCAAAGTCTCTTTTCTTCTTCAGTGTTAATTAAACCATTACAATTTTTACCTATCCAACCTAAAGTGCTGATCACGTTTCTAATAAGAGCAAATATCGGGCTATTGAAGTTTGAGTTTTTCGACAACAGTTGTGGTTCATCGCGATTTTCATAGATTCAATCATTTGTATATCAGCAACATGTTTAGCACTGTTGTATTAGATAGTCAATCTTTTGATGTGTTTTAATTCCGAAGAAAAAAAATGACTTTGAAAAAAGGTGACGGGATCATCAGAGGATCACACAAGAAGTTGTAAAATGCGGCTTGTACGACTTCTCGCTCCTGTTAAATATGTCTGCATTGAAGGGTAGTAGAAAAACAATTTCGGGTGGAAAGAAATTGAGAAGCTCGATGTGCAAAGCTTTAGAATACGAAGCTTTCCTTTAAGCTGCGTTCCCCTCTCTTGTGGGATGTTGATGCATGAAAGCGATTGATGCCCCGTCGTTTAGTATATTTGGAACCTTCGTGTTAAGCAGTTATTGTTTGCATTTTTGAGATTTAATTTGTGGAAGGTGCAAAGGCCAATAAATTTGGTTGAACCAATCGATAATTATGAACGTTTCACATCCGTAATCAGCAACCTCGCTCACGCGCTTCAACCTCAAAACATCGCAGTGCCATAATCTTTTTGCAATTAGCATCTTCTTCTAAACAAAGTGTCTGTATGGATATATCGATATGGAAAACAGCCACTGACACCCAACTCTCGGATGTGTGCAATTTTCGATCTAAAACTTTAATCCTCTTTAAGGGACATACATACGAACTATACATTTGATTTCCCAAATTATTCTGGAATTGTCTCCTGTTGGGAGAGCTGGTTGTATTTGCAAGTGGGGGCCATGGTCTTATTAGCGGTAGCTCCTCTCTACTACTATGTTTTTCATTTCTCGAAACAAGGAACTCGGCATTTTCTCTTAAACAAAGAAAGAAGACTTTTGCAGACTAGCAGCAGATGAAGGCAAACGCGGACCAATAAAAGTTGAAAAACCGATACTTGATCAGGTGAAACGATCATGTCTGTACTCATCTCATCAAAGCTTGAATTTATATGCTTCGCAAAGATTCAAGAGGGAACGATGGTTACGATTTGTGAATGGCCATCTATGATGATGCGATAACTATGTATAAGTGTACCTTTGTATGCTGACTCAAAAAGGCTTCCAAAAAAATCTTCAAGAGTTTTGATCGCTCTTCCAGAATTAAATTGCCTTCCGGGAAGGCTCAGCATGATCAACTCTAAATTTTCTTGCATTTTCTTTTTCTATAAAATTAACTCAATGCAAATGGCTTTGATTATGTCTAACAAACTTGAAAATTATAAACCATTCATTCGTTAACAAAAGTTAATCAGCGTCGAGATGCTTTCTATGGCAAAAAATATTTCTTTCCGTTGTGTCCTTCAGCTTCGGAATCTTTCCGAACGACTCCATGCTTCTGGTCGAACTGATACTTCATGCGCTCTCGTCTTCTTCTGCGAGTGGGTCTTCTGCATATTCTGTCATCGGGATTATCAGTCTTAACCTTGTGTGCAAATCTCTGCCTAAGAACGATTCCGCTGGCGTCTTGTCGTTCAAGTTCGTGTTTGATGTTGTCCTGTAGGCTTGTAACACCACATAAGTATCTTCTTGGCCTCTTCTCCCCCTCTAGTTTCTTGATTCCGCGTTTCAGCGTATCAACGAAACGCTGCTTGTCCATTCGATTGAGGGTGATAAGGAGCAGTCCTTATGTGGGCGATTCTACCTTCGTGGCACGTTTTCTTGAATAAGTCCGATGTAAACTGGGTAATACTGTCGCTCACTATTGTTTGCGATAATCCATATCTCGCAAACAAATTCTTTAACGACTTCACTGTTTTCGCGCCGAGATGTTGCTCATCTCATCATTTCAGGCCATTTATGTACTCGTCTACTACTGCCAAGTAGAAGACCCCTTGCATAGGTCCGAAGTCGATGTGTATCCTCTGCCACACTCGAGTTGCGGATGGCCAGGCCGGCTTGATAGTTTCGTCGGATTCTTGGCTAATTCCTGAAATTTCGTACATTTTCGTACTTAGTCTTCGCACTCTTTGTCGATATTTGGCCAGTAGACATAACTTCGAGCCAGCTCCTTCATCCTCACCATCCCTGGATGTCCAATATGCAATTCTTTTGGGACATATGCTCGAAGCTCCTTGGGTACCACAACCCTTTCAGCTAACATCACTGCTCCACGACTGATAATGTCTCGCGTCGACTTCGAAAATGCGCCAGGTTTATTTAGTTCTGCATGCTTTCTGCACGTAAGTGAGTACTTTTCTAAGCACTGGATCCTTCTTTGTCCAGGTTTGTACATCAGATACCGTTACTGGCAGTTCTCCTTATGCAGCTCTTTAACGTATAGCTAACGTCGTTCCCAACGGCAGCAATCACGACAGCTTATTCGTGATCTGATTCTTCTTCATCAACCTTGACAAGCCATCTGCTTGTACAAACTTCGTAATTTGACATACTCTATGTCGAAATCATATCCGAGTAGAATTGTAGCCCATCTCATGAAAGGGTTGGCGGAGTAGAATAGAATTCCTTTCTTATCACCGAAAATGGCTAACAATGGTTGTTGGACCGTCAAAATAGAAATTTTCGTCCAAGTATGTACTTGTGGAACTTCTTGACTGTAAAGACAATTCCTTTTCGATCTACCCTCGATATCATCCCATATGTCTTCCCTCAACATGACGTGGATTACGTGGCTTGGTGAGGCGCCGCCTCGCCTCGGGCTTGCGCCACGTTGCGTGCGCATCTTCGGCGTGATGTGGCAACAAGAAGAACGTGGAAAAGCCTGCGCCACGTTGTGGTGAGCGCCACGTCGCGCCAAATGATGCGCTCGCAACGTGGAGCGAGGCCGAGGCGAGGCGGCGCCTCATCAAGCCACGTAATCCACGTCATGTTGAGGGAAGACATATGGGATGATATCGAGGGTAAGAATAATTCTTCTCCGCTTTCGTGAGAGATCTCAATGCGTGTGCAATTGGCTTCTCGGATCCATCGGCATATCTATGCGATATCGTACATCCGACACCATAGTCACTAGGTCCGCTGCCACGACTATTTTCTGCCTTGGATCATAGTGAGCAAGGTTTAGCTCGCTCGGCAAAGTCTCCTTGAGCTTTTTGTGCGCTTCTTGATGTGTTCTCCATTCCCACTTCGCATCTTTCTTGAGCACCGCGTCTAGTGATTCACCGAAGATCCTTGATCTCTGGCATAACACCGCATAGTACGTTTTCATGCCAAAAAAAGCTCTCAGTTGACTAGCATTCTTCGGCTGGTTTATATTCTTGATTGCTTCGATCTTTTCTAAGTTCGGCCTCCTGCCATTTTTATCCACCGTGAAGTCAAGATACCGTATCTATGACTTACCAAAGGAACATTTTTCAAGCAATGTCTGAATCCGTACTCGGCGATCTTTGCGAACACAGCTAACAACATTTCATGTGTTCTTCTTCGGTTCGTCCACAGACCAATATATCGTCCGAGTAGTTTCCACGCCTTGCAAACCGCTTACCATCTTATTCATAATTGATGGAAAATTCCCGGTGCTGTCTTTACTCCAAAAGGCAGTCTATTGTACTGGTACAATCCTCTATGCTATTTATCACAACCAGTCTCTTCGTTTCTTCTGACAACTCGATCTGCAGATAGGCGTCCGACAGATCTATCATTGTAATTCCATTGAGAGGTGCGAATATATCCTCCGGCAACGGTAAAGGGTAATTATGCGACTCCAGCGCTTTGTTGAGCCCAGTTAAGAAGTCAGCACATACTCTCAATTTTACATTCGATTTTCTAACACACATAATGGGAACTGCCCATTCACTGTACGTCACTGGACTTATAACACCTGTTCAGTTCTTTTTCGGCAGCCGAGCGCAGCATGTGGAACAGGCCTAGAAGCTTTGAAAACAGGACGAACGTTCTCGTCAACTCTCATATGTCCTTTCTTCTTTGTGCAGAGTCCCAAACCTTCTTTGCAGACTTCTGGATAAGTTTCCTTTAGCTTCAAACGTGCCAGTGGGTTGCTCTGTCTTCACTTATTCAACCATTCTGCTCATGTGATAAGACATATTTTAATTTTTCTTGATCCACTCAAGACCTAGCAGTGAGTTGTGATGTGTCACGTATGCGTAGCCTTCGCTTCTGGATCCTTTGACCTCGTACTCAAAGCCTTCCATGGATAGACTTCCATTGAGCCTCCACTAGCGTTCTTGACAACCATGTTTGTCTCCTACAGTCGAGGTGCACATTTCTCTCCCAGATTGATTCATTCAGCATCGTGATGTCTGATCCTGTGCCCAGAAGAAAGCTAATTGGATAACTATTTACTTTCGCTTCTACATATATGCAGATCAAGTTAATTTCCATCATCGCATTCGCTTCGCAATGCTGTGCATGCCGTTTTGGCACCGTCCAATTTCTGTTTCTACTGATATCGCTGCTTCTTACATTGTTCGTCTCGAATCTTGCTGAACAAGTGCTTTTCTCTCCGCCACTTGTTCGCAACGATTGCTTGTTCGCACAACTTCTCCTTGTGACTTATTTTCTTGCACTTCTTGCAAAACCATAACTTCGCTTTGCATTCCGTGACATAGTGAGCTTTACCACACTTCCGGCATTCCACCTTCTTGGGTTCCTCCTTGTTCGTTGCCTCAAATTCGCGCAACCAGCTACAGTCTCGCTGTTCTTCTTGAGATTGAGGAAGTTTTTGTACTCCAGGTACAATTCCTATAGCGACATCTTTCTTGAGCCCATTTTCGCCATGCTGATTATTCGTTCTGACCGCTCTCTGCAGTCTCCTCTTCGATTTGATTTCCTAAGGCTTCGTTGGTTCGGCTACTTCTTCGACTAGTAGCCGCCGCTTCTGATTGCCACAGTTGTGTCCTTCAGCTTCGGACACTTCGAAGTCTTCGATTCTCTGTGGAAGCACAGGAGAAGCCAGGAATATTTATTAGAATAATATAAATAATTAGAAATAGACGCAGTGAGTGAACGATAGAACAATAGAACCGACTGAGGCGAAGAGTGAGCGCCTTTTATAGTGCTCAATTTCCGACTCTAAGGTTGCGATCGACTGCGCGAGTCAGATGACTATGAGTGACAACTGATCATTTACACCACAACACTTTCCTTCTAAGATTTTTCATTGCCTCTTATCACTCATTTGTAATGAATTGTTTAGGAAAAGTTTGATAAGTATTACGGATATCGGAGAATTGATTTAACGTGGGCCAAAAAGTTGCATTGGCATTTCAAGCAGGTAACCAAGTATACCGGACGAAGTATCAAGTCACAAAAGAATGCGTTTAGGTGTCGAAGTGGAAACGAGCAGATTGGGCACATTTTTGGATGGGACGAGTTCCCATAAGCAAATGGTTATCGCAATACAAATGGCGCGAAGATTTAAGATCAGATCTATTGGGCGGCACAATGCTGTCGATCATATGTCTGCCGCAAAGTACGAACAGTTTCGGCCAGTAGAAAATGATAAGATTGGTCTAGGTCTAGCATACGGGTATTTAGTTGGTGTCCCTCCTATTTATGGCTTAATTACTGCCATATTTATTCCACTGGTCTATGTGATTTTTGGCAGCTCACGTCATAACTCACCGGGTATAAAGTAAATCCATACTGGTTCTGCTCGTAATCTACAGTTCAGGGTGTTTTGCCATAGCCGCCCTCATGGTTGGTGGTGTAGTAGAAAAATTTGCTCCAGGACATGAAGTTGATGGTAAGTGAAACATCATTCTGTGTTGGTGAACGCTGACCGTATTTAAAATCGTGAATTTTGCGCAAACATTTTTAATTTGTATTCGTGAAATGAGGGACCACTTGGGTTAAGTCAGTCGTTGCACTGAGTTATACGTCGTGCATTCTAAGACTAACAGTAAGATACTAACAATAAGTAATTCGCTCACGTTTGATTGACGTTCTGAATTACTTACTTGGAAAAGGAAGAGAAACCACAAGGATAATATGTATGAGCTTATTACACAAGGTGTGCAAGCGGCCTCAAGTACATATATACAAAGTGTCTTGAAACATGTATGCACTCTACAAACATCGAAATCTCTCTTACCACGATGTTTTTCAGGTAACATCCAGAGAGCTTGCTTAAGTTGAGGGAAGGCATCTAACTTAACTCTGCCTTTCGAAAAGAAACATATAGTTATGTTTCAAATCAGCATTAAACGCTGATTTCGACTAGGCTATTCTAGCTGCGGCGCACCATTTTGAAATGAGTCGTGAGCTCTTCACTTGTGAAATCGGCATATTGTTCAACACGGGAAGATTCCTGTAGGTGAAAATATGCCCGAAAAAGAGGCTGCGAAATCAAAGAAACATCTTCACCAAATCTTTGCTTACTGATAGGGAACTTAATGCAAGTGTATTGGCACTTGAAGGATGATGCCATGATACAGCAAGTTGTTGTGTATGCGAATTATGCACAGGAAAAGGGCAACAACTTTCTTTAGATTTTCCAAGTTCGCCTTTCTATAAATCTTGGCATCTTGATGAACAATTATGTGCAGTTGTTGAGCCTTATATAGCCAAGATTGTTAAAGTTGTTTATTAGGCTAACGTTTCGGCTTTTCGCCTTCGCCAGAGCCTAAAAAGCGAGGAGCAACTGAAAGTTATCCACCAGATGTCTCATACACAAGGTAAAGTCCAAGGCTGCATTTCGCGTAGACAGCTCACCTCTTCGCCGAGCAAGGGACTGCCACCACCACTCGTAGGCGTTAAATGATTAATGAGCTAAAGTGAGTATGGATGATGTTCTTATATCAAAACCCGCATAATTCCATAAATGGTGCGAGTTCCTTCGTTATAGCAACACACTCTTCCTTTCTATTCATTTTTGGATTCCTGGTAAGGATCCATCCGGCTTCTAAAGTTTTACGAGCTGCTGCCTCTGTTTCTCGCTCCAGAATCGACACCGAAATATCGAACTCTGCTTCTTCGTGGTGCAGCTTTCGATGCGTGCCCAGCGGAGTTGACATTCTTATGTTGCGCATCCCGTCCATGTGTTCCTTAATTCTGAGACGCAGTGGCCTACCCGTCTCCCCGATGTATTCATCGCCACATGCTTTACACTTCAAAAGGTAAATCACGCCCGAGCACATGCAATCGCTTTGTTTATTCGTGGCGCATATCAAGCAATCCGTTTCTGTGCAAGCTTTATCATTTGCTCTATTTCGTACCAAGCGCCGTTTAAGGTTTGGAGGGGGTATTTCGACAAGCCGCAATAAATCTTGCAACCCAGCTTTTCGAACACATTTTCTAATCGCGCTGCTCAATGTATCTGATTATTTGGAGTGCTTTCTTGACTGACACAGCCTTTAGCGTGCCGTCAGATGACACCATTTTGGCTGTTCGGATCATGTTTCCAATTACACTGATTTTAGTACGGATAGGATGCGCAGAAGAGTAGTGTACAAGGATATTTTTGTTACTGGGCTTTCTGTACCAGCTGGTCCTGTACTCTCCTTTGTTCAAGTTTATCTGAACATTGAGGAACGGAAGCCACTCGTCCTTTGGCTTTTCCCTAATGAATCTTATGTTAGCTGATTGCTTATAGATAAAAAAAATAAAAAAATATAAAAATATACCGCATAAAAACCCTAGCGATAAAGTGTCATTCTGTTTCCCTTTCATTTCAGATACATTGAGCAGCGCGATTAGAAAATGTGTTCGAAAAGCTGGGTTGCAAGATTCATTGCGGCTTGTCGAAATACCCCCTCCAAACCTTAAACGGCGCTTGGTACGAAATAGAGCAAATGATAAAGCTTGCACAGAAACGGATTGCTTGATATGCGCCACGAATAAACAAAGCGATTGCATGTGCTCGGGCGTGATTTACCTTTTGAAGTGTAAAGCATGTGGCGATGAATATATCGGGGAGACGGGTAGGCCACTGCGTCTCAGAATTAAGGAACACATGGACGGGATGCGCAACATAAGAATGTCAACTCCGCTGGGCACGCATCGAAAGCTGCACCACGAAGAAGCAGAGTTCGATATTTCGGTGTCGATTCTGGAGCGAGAAACAGAGGCAGCAGCTCGTAAAACTTTAGAAGCCGGATGGATCCTTACCAGGAATCCAAAAATGAATAGAAAGGAAGAGTGTGTTGCTATAACGAAGGAACTTGTACCATTTATGGAATTATGCGGGTTTTGATATAAGAACATCATCCATACTCACTTTAGCTCATTAATCATTTAACGCCTACGAGTGGTGGTGGCAGTCCCTTGCTCGGCGAAGAGGTGAGCTGTCTACGCGAAATGCAGCCTTGGACTTTACCTTGTGTATGAGACTGGTGGATAACTTTCAGTTGCTCCTCGCTTTTTAGGCTCTGACGAAGGCGAAAAGCCGAAACGTTAGCCTAATAAACAACTTTAACAATCTTGGCTATATAAGGCTCAACAACTGCACATAATTTCTTTAGATTGATGCGCCGCAGCTAGGTATAGCGTATCTACCAGCATTTGAATTTGATTAAGAATATACAGGGTGTTCCAAAAGTAAGTACACACTTTTCAATCGTCAATATCTCTCTTCCCAATGGGTCTTTTTTTGCCAGTCAAGCACCGTTGTGTAGAGGAGGCTTCAACTTAGAGTTACAGTATTAAGCGAATCACTGATCGCTCTTCGTTACTGTAGGATTGCGGCACGTACTACCAACTTTCAACAACAAGTGAAACCATTGTGAAATATGCCATTTGACAAATTTTTTTTCAAAAAATCTGAAAAATCGTGTACTAGGGTTTTCGCGTACGTTGATTCCACTACACAACTTCTTATGAGTGTTTTCAGATTTTTTGACGGAGTAATCACATTGTTGACGAATACTGGGAATTCGGTCATTACGGTTTATCTGGGATAACTTTGGAAAGAAGCACCACAGTAAAGTGGAAGACTCATATTCGAAATTGGCGGCTTCCATTACCGTAGTATAAGAGTTTTTGGCTTGTCTGGTTTTGTTCCGAGGCAAAATATGGCTTCCAATGGCCTAAAACCTTTATCGAAGTTCCTACACAGTAATCCTACAGTAAAGAAGAGAGGTTGGTAATTTGCTCGACAATGTATATCTAAGCTGAAGCCTCCTCTACAGAAAGGTACTCAAATGGCGGAAAAAGACACAATGGGAACAGAGATATTAACGATTGAAAAGTGTGTACTTACTTTTGGGACACCCTGTATATGTTTACTTTCAAAAGGCCCAGTTAATTCAGGTGCTTTGCCTCGTTGAACTCACGGTGTAAAACGAGTCATATAGTCGTCTTCGTTATTGTAGGATCACGGTATGGCATGCAGCGCCACAGTGAGATAATTTATATTAGAATGTAGTTCATCATTAGAACTTTCATATGTACAATTGTGTAATTTACTGATGACTGATAATCGGTAAGACGACAGTCGATATGTTTTTGCCAAAGAGATATTCGCACGTAGGGTATGTCGTACCACAAACCTTTGTGAGTATAACACAAATTTTGAGTCATCTTCAAGAGGTAGTTTGCAATTTCAGCAAAAAAAAAAACTAAAAAGCGAGACTGTTGCCTTTTTGGCCTTGTTTTGGAATTATAGACTCAGAAGAAATCCAGCGATTACGCGAGTTCGCACCGATTTTTTACCTAGATCTGTAAATTTAGGCTTTAAACTGAGTCAGTCTTTCTGCGAAATTTAGAAACCATTTTGTAGTTTGCACGCTAGGGCGGGGGGTAGCCACTCTTTGCAAGGAGAATGTTCGATGCTTACCATAATTTTAGCGGGTCTAACCTGCTAAAATTTCCAAAAAATTTCTTTGCATTCGTATATTTATATGATAATACAGAAAGGGATTCAATACAAATGGGATACACATTTATGGCAAAAATGGTTTCAAAATTATACAGTTGTCTACGCAATCACAAATGCTTATTGCATAACATGTTCATTTCATCGACATAGGTGCAAGCGGGCTGCGCTAGCGGAAGATGCCGTCTCAATTCAGCTCTATGATTGGGGCGCCACTGTTATGCCTCCGCTCAAATGACCGTTTGCCATTGACCATTCGTAGTACTGTAAAGCCCAATGATATCGAGCACGCAACACCGGGCACATTGAGATTATGTCACACTGTACATTTATACCTGGTTCCGCCGATTAGAGTTTTGATTGTGACAATTAGATGAAAAACACCACATCCGAGAAAGGGATGCAGTTGTAATGGATCTGACCAATTCGAGCGAAAGTGCTGTAAAGAAAGGAGATTTAAGTCCAGATCGTCGAACTGCTCCCGGTATAATTCATTAGCGTTGAAACATGTTTGTACCTTAGACTTTTCTGAATAACTTCGACTTTCTGCCGCAGTCCTAATCAAGCGAGTATATACGTATGTAGGTAAACCTGAGAAAGACGACTTGAAACTGAATTCTTTTATGTGTTTTGTCGTCGAATGATTTACTCCCAATGTTTAGCTCCACTAAGTCTGAATCATACTGCCAGTCCGCCTATATGCTGTAAGTCTGCATCACCTTCGGTATCACCTTCCGATGCAGTTGTTATTAGCTCTTCCCTTACTTTTGTGGTAGGATTGTGGCAGGTACCAACTCTGCTTTTTCACAGTAACGGGAAAAGACACTGCAATCATGTTAAGATTTTCTTCGGTTTATTAAATGCTGGGTTACTCGCCGTTTGGTTATCAGATCACCTAGTTCAAGGACTGACTTCTGGCGCTGCTGTACATGTTGTAACGTCGCAGCTTAAGTCAATAACTGGAGCAGATGGATTACCGCCAACGAGCGAACCATTTGGTCTAATAAAGGTAGGGTATATTGTTTTATGCCAATAGTTAGATGAAGACCGCGTTATAGTTCTATTTATGTTTCTACAAACAAGCCCATACAGTGAATCTGCACTGTGTAGTGTTATCTTTGATTGCCGTTTCACTATTGCTCTTATCGAGCTTCTTCATCGACCCCATCTTGAAAAAATGGATAAAAATTAAGTTTCCAATGGAGTTTGTTGTGGTAAGTTTTTTGACAGATGTGTAACGAGTTCTATCGATGCTTTAGGTTCTTTTCTCAATTCTTCTTATCTATCTGTCGGAAGGTACTCGTTATCACATAAATGTTCCAATACTTGGACAGGTCAGTCAAACTGTATTTGCTTAATCAGAGGCTGCAAAATTATCTAGGTGGATTCCGGACTTCCTGGTCCGCGTTTGCCCTCGTTTGAAGAAGTTGGGGAACTCATAGGGCAAGGCTTCACCGTTGCAATAATATCTTTTGTTATACATATCGCCCTCGCTAAGCTGGTATCGAAAAAGTTCAATTATGAGATAGACGTAAATCAGGTGCATTTAACTAGTCTGAGGAGCGCTTTCGAATATGCTCTTTAGGAATGGTTTGCTCTGGGTGCTGCACACACGCTTTCATCATTTTTCGGATGCTTTGTTGGAGGATCCTCGATTGGGCGGACTATGACGCAAGTCAAACTTGGAACGAAGAGTCAGGTTAGTAAGAATCGAAAGTAGAGGCGTTTGAGTTGATGTGCGTGCGGTTAGGCTTAGAACGATATCGCTAGCTTGCCATCACAATTTCGGCTACGCTTAATTCACGACCTAAGGAAACAGTGCAGCTTTCATTAGCGTTGAAGCACTTAGCTATGCTCTAACTAAGCACTGTAAGAGATACGCGCGGCAGCCGAGAATTGGCTAGTTCTTGAAAATGAAAAGCTGAACAGAACTTATAGTTCTTCGTACGTAATCCAACTCGTATTCTTTTGAGAAATCGTGTTTCAAGAATTTCTTGTCTCTGAAACAATAGCGGGGCCTACTGCCTAGTTTCCGGTGCAGAAGATTCAAAGCAAAGTCGCTCCAGAATGTGACAGTAGACACTTCGTTTGCCTATCAATGTGGCTGGTCTGGAGGTAAGAAAACTCCCGGAACTAGGCGTCAAAGTAGCCAAAGATCTCGAGAGACTGCATCTTATAGTGAACATCAGATTCATTTACATTTCTAGTTAATTGCCAATTCACCCTCATGGCTTTTGGACCACCTACGTAAAACGGAAGTGTACACAGAGCTGACGATTTCTCGCTTCGGATTCCATCTTTTGCAGCAGGACTTGGGCAGCTTATTAGGGCCCTGCTATTGTACTGTATGGGAATCTCACCATCCTGATTTGGGTAGACGATGCCTTCAAGGTACTACCAATTGCTCATGCCTTTAATTGCTCATGCTTGCTACTTGATCCAATCTACTGTGGCCCTCCGATAGCTTCCTCCATCACTTCTCATTAGACGGTCCCACAGCGTCGAGAAAAGCGTGAAAGTCGTCGTTTTAGAGAATGTCCCCGCAGGTCAGTGCAATGCACGTGGCAGTATCCACATACGTATCGTTTGCGTCTGTCCGATCCAGATGGGAATGTGAGCACTTACACCGATCTTATTAACCCTGCTCTCAAAGTAGGATCTGATTTGCAGCGCTGTTATGTTGTTAAATGTGTAACGAAAATTCATCAGCAAAGACCTGACTTGATAAGCAGTACTGGTGACTTTATAAAGTCGTTATCTTCGCAGTTAGCACGCTCACTCCTCCCTCCCCCCTCCGCCCCCTCCTGCACTCTTTGTTCCTTCGTTTCCAAAACAATCGTTGAACTTGATATAGGCAGCTCGAAGTTTGCAAAAATTGACATAATCCATGAAGGCAATGACAGTTTTAGAAACGGTTTGTTCTCTTTATCAGCATGTTCACGTACCTCACTGCTAGTTCTCAACCTCTCATATCAATGTTTGCAAAAATTTGAATAATTGATAAAAAACAATACTTCTGATGATAAACCTTGTATGCGAGTTGTAGAGTTTCAAGATCATTTCACATATGGAAATTTCTCATCAGCTACAACTTACACACATACAGACGCGCAAACCTGTAGACAATGGACTTTATATATAAGATTTTTTGGAACCTGGATGTTTGAACTACCACGTATGTACTTGATTTGCAGCTCTCGACTTTGATATGCACATTGATAATGATTGGCTTTGTATATGGAGCTGGAAAATTCATCTATCACCTTCCAAAGGTAACTATGGAAGTAAATAATCTGACAATACCATTTAAATACGCTTAGGCCATCTTGGGTTGCATTATTGTTGTGGCGATGAAAGATTTACTCATCCAACTTGTTCGAGGTTTTCATTTATGCAAAGAAAGCACCGTGGATTTTGTGGGAGCTTTTAAAAGTTTTTCATTTTGTTGCAATCACTGCCACTGCTTGCAGATGATATTTTTTGTTACACTGGTATCTGTTATTCTAACGAATGTCAATATTGGGCTTATTGTTGGTATTGTTTTTGCACTACTAACAGTGGTTTTTCGAACACAGTGGTTGGTAATAGCGGAAGTTGAGTAATCACAAAGTACGCAATTTAAGGGCGGACAGTTTTTGTATGGGTCGAATACCAGGCACATCGGATTTCAAAGGTTTGGGACACTATCGCAGCGCAGAAGAGCTGCCAGGTACAGAGCCGCTACGCTTTGCACTGCTCTTAGAGATTATCGTTTTTCAGGAATAAAGGTTTTTCGCTTTGATGCACCACTGTATTTCGCTAATGCTGAGTTATTCATATCTCGTGTAAATGATGCCTGCGGATTGAATCCCGTCCTTGGTAGGATCACATATCATGTGAATAGTGATTCTTTGTTTATTGCAAATTATTCCAGTGAAAGCAAAGTTGAACGAAAGTGCTGCAGCGGAAAAAAATAAGACGAACATGGATGAGAGCGCAGAAGATTCAAAAAATGCTCCTGGAGATATGGGCATGTTTAAATGAACTAATTATCGTCGATTCGCTAACTGCACTGACTGCTCAAACGCTGCGGACACGCACGGTGCGGCTGAATTGTCGCGAGAGCACGACTTGTACAATGGCGGATTTGTATTGGGGCAAAACTTTTTACCTCGCGGCGCGTGCTCCGCAGTGATGTTCAGTCCGTGCGGTGAACGAATCATCTACATATGCTGCGCGCGATAGTATGCACATCACACATTAATCAAAGGACTTAGCACGCACTTTGTTGCAAGTTGCTTCAAGTCGCGTTCTTGCATTAGGCTTGATCTGCAATTGCACCATCATGAAAAGTGATCCAAGAGTTACGTAAGTGTAAAATTCTTCAGAGTTGCGAGTCGTAGGACGTCGTCTTGCGGATGCGTCCACAGAGGTAGTGGAAGATTCAACAGAACATGTTGTTACACAGCTTACGCATATTATTATAGGTAAAGCTTCTTGTGTATTTGACTTGTCATGGAAGGCTTTTTCTGTTTTATTTGTCAGATTATTATTTTACCATTTCTTTTGCTCTTCTTCTCTAATTTTTTCTTATTTAGATAAAGGCAACGACATTAGCAGAAAGACGATCACCCCTGCTTTACTTGCGAAATATATAATAAGTGGAAGGAGTGGGCTAGGGTATATACGATGTACACAATTAGGGCACAACGTTCACTTCGTCCTATCTACTTTCAAAGCCAATGACTTCCTGCCTTTCCACTTATATCATGTCATTCCTATTTAAATATACGCGATAGAGAGCTAACAAGGGAATGGTCAGAAGTCGAAGTGGCCAAACCAAACAAGCTGTATACCATTCGATGCAGCGTAAAAACTTCGAATCTGTCTTCCTTATCTGCTTACCGCTTTTGTGGACGAAGCTATAGCAGTTTTAATGAAGAAAAAAAAACTACATAAAACTGCGAAATCAAGCCATAATCCTTCTCTCAGCTCATGTTCAGGTATGGGCTATACGAAGTAATCTAGCTGCATGTTTTGGAGAAGCATCAAGTCGAGAGTGCTCTATACGGCCTATTTTCACTTTCAAGCATAAATTCTCAGTAAAATAGTGGCCTTTAATTGCTCATAACTCGTCCACAAAAGCGATAAGCAGATAAAGAAGACAGATTGATGTCAAAGCTTTATGCTGCACCAATGGTATGCAACCTATTTAGATTGGCCACTTCGACTTGTGACCATTCCCTTGTGAGTCAAAAAAGTTTACTCTTGTTACAAGACATACGATGATTTTAATGCAGCGAGATAGGCATATTTTAACTTGATTCTAGATTTAGCAAAGCACATTGCAGAGGGACGAGTTCGTTCCCCATGACTCTATCTCTGTGAACGAGTAAGCCTTTCATAATAACTTTAGAATCTCCCTTACTCCTCCTAACGATTGAAACCATACATCTTTCAGATGAAAAGGTGGTCAGGGTACTTTATCATTTCAGACAATGATGTAAAGCTTTCACGCCTACGTCTCATGAAATAAAGTGCTATTTTCCTACTATCATTTTTCCTAATATCAAAATATGATGTTAAGCTGCTAAATAATTCAATTAGAATGGATAATTATGAAAGTTGTGGTAGCCTGTTCTTGTTTCTTTTTTGTAATACCACTGAAGAGAGGTCGTCAGAAAATGATCATGGCTACCATTATATATCCGTTATTGAACCACATATTATACGATGATTTCGACCAAATTACTATCGCTCCTGGCTCTTGATTTTGATGTTCTTGACGATGAAACGTGTAATTCTAGACTGCTCGAGTATTCCTTACATAGACTTGATGGGAAAGGATGCTATTTGTCAAATAGTTGCCGACTACGCTGCAATTGACATCACTGTATTGATTGCTAACGCCAAAGGTACCAAGACTTGATTATATTCCAGGCAAAGAATTATGCTTAAAATCCACTAAATTCCCTTCTCAAGTGTACAACCGCACATTTTCAAGATGTTAAGCGCCATAGGGTCCTTGCGTAAGGCAAGCGATTGGCGAGAGTTGGACAATAAGGACCAAGCAAGAGAAGCCCATATTAGGGTTCTTCTTGATTTCGATTAATATGCATTCGAATATACTTTTGAGAAAAAGTGTGCAGCTGCAAGCATACCACGCCATTGCCAAAACACGTTAATAAAACCGCATCCGTCAAGTGATTTCGCATGTTTGAATTATAGTATTTGCGCCTTTTTTAAGTGTGCCCACCGCAATAACTGCTTTTGTTTTTAATGAATGCATTCGAAAGCCTCTATTTCAGTAACTTTGCGCCAACTTTTTGAAACAAGTGATTTTTACCAAAAAGTTTCCAAGAACAAAATGTTTGTAAGTGTTAATGATGCGGTATCGCAAGCCCTGAAAGAACAAAGAGAACGCTTCCCTGATCGTCCACCAGCGGTAAATCATAGCTGTCGCTGGTCTATCAACTTATGTATGAATTTCCTAGATTATGCCATCCGAGATAATGCGAAAACCAGTTGTCTTGAAAGAAGAGCCCGTAGCATTATCTCCCGCTCAGAAAACAATAGTCAGTAATGTATATGAAGAAGGCGAAGAACAGATCACACAGAGTGCAGGTACGCGACAAATAATGCAGGGCAAAGCAGGGCTCATTCTGGGTTAGACGCTTTTCTCCCAAGTTTCATCCCTTTGCAATAACTTGCAAAAGCTGCGCACATGTACATTTGGTAACCGCTCATAATGAAATTTTGGATATCTGGCAAACCGCTAAGTTGCGTGCAGGTCGCTATTTGGCTGAGTCACAATATGCTTGAGGCATAGTACCTGCGATTCCGTCAACGCTACATCCACACCACCTGGCGACAAGACCGAACGCAGTGGCGTTTAGCTTCTGTAAGTTGTCGCAAACTTACCAAGTCTGGGCCGAACAAAGCGCGCCCACGTTCAGTAACGAGCAGTCGCTGCAGTGACATATCGCGCAGCGACTGAGATGGCGTGTAGTATGTCTTAGGTGCTAGGTCCTGGACAGAGTTCACGCGATTTGATCGTCGCGATTCAGTCGCCGCGACATTCATTTTCAATTCAATTCAAAAATTTTGCGCTGAAAAACTATCACAGCCAAAATGCAAGCCGATCGGCATGCAATGAACTCGTAACAGTTGTCTTGTAGCGATTGAATCATGATGATCAAATTGCGTAAACTCAGTCCGAGGCCTGGCGCCGCGCAGTTCTAATCATGCAGCCCCATTAATCGCAAAACGATTTTCGCAGAAATGCAAAAGAATTTGAGAAGTGAAATCTTCAAGGGGAATGACCAAATGAACAGCTTAACTCATAAATTAGCACAGTCTTTGAAGAAGTTGGCCCCTAAACATGTATTGGGTGTAATCACAGGACGCATTACAGGTGCGCCAGAAAAGTAAGGAGCAAAAAGTTTTTTGAGTGTAGGGCACTGCGTGATCGCTAGAGTAGATGAGTTTGCGGCCATTACCACTCGCGTTGAGCTTTCTCAGTTGTCTTTCTCTTCAAACGCTTTTCTGCTGTCAGACGTTAGCTTCCAATTACCTGACACGATTTAGAAAGTACGTATTGTTCTGGTTTGAACCCCTGTGCATACTACATGTGTAATGGGCGTAAAGTTAGCGAGCTCGCGATGACGCAGACCTTATAGTCAGGAATCTCAATCAGTCTCAACAAAGTAGTTGATTGCTTACTAGAGAACACACGTGTAGTGCAAAAATCTACCTCCTAACACACTTTGAGCGAGAAAAGAAATTACCCCTCAAAATGTGGATCGTCACTTTTGAGATTTCCTCTACTGAATGTTAGACAGGAAAGCGAATCTGCATTCCATACAATTAAGTTTTTCGTTATCTATTACCACTGAGATCCATTTGTCAAGTGAAAGAAGTAGAACTACTCAGTAGAATCGTAGTTAGCACTCAGGTGCGGAGCACCTGAAAATGCACCTTCAAGAACTTTTTTGAGCACACTCACATTCAGACAATTTTCCGATTTCTGTCACTCAGGACCAAACCCTTATCCGGTGTTTCAAGGCCGCGTGTCGGTCGAAACTATGTTCCAAAATGCAGCTAAATTTGATGCTCGAGGCTTCCTCTGAGTGCTATTCATGTGACAATTTTATGAAGTTTCACCACAAGCTCTATTGTAAGTCAGAGTTTAGAAACCTACGCCCCACCGGTGGGTCTTATCGTCGTAAACGTGTTGCACACTCCAAAGGATTTCGTAAAGGGCGAACTATTGCTTATGTAAATGAGAGAGATGTGTCGTTACTGTAAAGAACAGTGCCACAAACAAAAGCATGCCTACTTCAAATAATGTACTGCAGCTATGGAGGGCAGAAAATGACGTGGAAATAGATTCTAAACCACATTATGACAGCATGTTTTGCGAGCCCAAGGGCAGGGCTGCACGATCATGGCAAAAGGACAGCGACATGCAGAATCGCGTTTGCCGCTTTCAAAAATTGAGATTTCCTCCCTTAATTGTGTCGCGCGAGTCGTTCAACTGAAGCGCATTTTCCTTTCTAAGAGTAGACGACGCTATCACCTATGAAGAAAGGAGAGAGGAGGAGTTTTAGAATCAGAATATTACTTAAAGCATACTTTTGGTGCGAACACATTCCTAAGCTTCTGTTGTCCTAGGGTGGCATAAAGTGGCAGTTGCCACTTTGATTTGTAAGAGTTGAGCATACATTTGGCATTTATGCTATCTGTGAATGTGTCAGTTGTTTATTGTTTTTCAAAACTTGATTTCGATGCGTTTTGAGCAAGATCGTATCTAAGTGCGTGGCTCTATTTCCTTGGCCTTGCACACTTTCGAGTTTTTGGCAAAACAGCAGAACTTAGTCGATCGTTTGACACTTCTGCAGTCTTCTATTTCTCATTGAGTTCAATATAGAGCGTACCACCAAGCCTTGTGCGCTCATATTATTATTAGGATGGTCCGAGAGTAATTTCGCTTTTTCAAACGAACGTATCCTCAGGACGATCCTCGCAAGCTTCTGACCGCATTCGATGCAATTTTTTATCCTTTCAAATGTTTTCGGCATTTTTAATTAATGTGCTCTAGAAAAATGGCCGAAAACTACAATCTATGTTCTTTGCCATGGGCAAGTTTCGCCAACCTTTTGCCTCCCCCCTAAGAAGTGACGGATGGATAGAACAAACCCTCCAAATACTAAACAATTTCTTCCCATTTTCAAATCTAGTCATAATTTTGATAGAGTTTCATAAGAACCCTTCAGATTAAGACCACCTTTTACAATGATTTTGACAGACAAATGAGCGTTAACGTTCAACCACGTTTCCTTATTTGGGTGCAGCCTGAGTAATGAGTTTATTCCAAAAAGGATAGGTAAAGAATCTAAAAAACCGCACAACTTGGCCACGGCAGAAACCATGGGTCGTAGTTTTAGTCATTTTCTTTGAGCTCGTTGGTTAAACTGGCATAAGATAACCACATCTGGAATGATATCCACGAAAGTCCCCGCGAAATGGGCTTTTCGTGCGAATAAAATGGACTTAGTCCATGCGGTGCGATAAGATATCGTATTCGCGAATCCATTCATTCCATAAACTTCTTCAGCAAACCTTTCTCCAACTTGTCTCAACCTGTTTACTCACTCTTGCGAACTCATTTCCACTACGTGGTCGGACTGACTAGGCTTTCCAATTTACAATGTCAGTCACATAGATTTTTATTTTTTCCCACTTCGTAACACCTCACAAAATACCATTTGTTATCGTTGGCTATGCTCTAAATTACCTCCAAGGAAAAATCCATATAGTATCCGGGCCCTCGCTTCTCGAGACTTCTATGGATCTGCATTAAATCAAATTCGTATGTAAAGCTATCTGCGGAACGCAAACTGGCTAGACTTGCACTGCAATCTGTGAATCAAAATGTTTATCTTATAGAAAATCTTGTACTACACTAAGACCCAAAGGATTTTTAAGCCATAAAAACTACTAATCTGCAAGAGATAATTTCGCAAATTTCCTACTTTAGCTCTTCTTTGTCTCTCAGCACTAGTGTTTAGATCCTAAACAGTTGAATGTCTGGACTACTGCCAGTAGGAAATTTTTCACAATAATTTTCTTGCTAGCTAGTTTCAGTAAATCTTGCGACCAAACTCAGAATCGCGTTTGAAATGCCGTATTTGAGTTTCGGTTTTGCGAGATTAGTCAAAAGATGGAATTATATTGAAACGCAAATTTTTTTATTTTCAAATACAAATAATGAATTTAGTTTTGGTTGATGATTTGAAGAGTTAACAAACTTTATTTGGTTTACAAAAGAATTTTCGCATCGACCTGTTCGGAAGCATTTGAGTTTGTTAGCGAATATTTTGGTGAATTTAACCTTCCTCCATGATTTTTATAGCGTTTGTATAAGTTTGGAAAGAAACACTTATTTCAGACTCCATAAAAGACATGAAACTTTTTCCACTCACTCGCTACCTTAGAATGTTCTAAGGAACAAATTCTCAAAAAATCGCCATCAAAAATATGCAAAAAGGTCAAAAAGGGCTTAGTCCCAGCTCACCTTGCTGCTGGGAGTAAAAGTCCATTTAAAATGGAGGAAAATCCCATTTTGCCTACTAAATGGACTTTTCGCATGATTCTTTGGCAAGCGAGAGCTCAAGTAGGGTTGAATCATTTTCATCACACCGCCTTGCCTCGTGGTTGCGATGAGATAAAAAATTTTAGATAATGCTAGCGAAAGCAGATTCCGACCAACTTCTACCGCGAACGAATAAAATGGGGTTTGGAAGTTCATTTTCCTCCATTATGGACTTTCCTGGATATCATTCCTGAAGGAAAATGATTTGCATCGAATACGACCAAAGCTACCAAGAACCTTTATCCTGCGAAACGTACGCTCGTTTGAAAAAAAAAACGATTTTTTGGACAATTTTTATACTTAGCGTTTCCAATTTCTAAGCAACAAATTCCCCTTGAAAATGCTGCGCTACGCACTCCAAGGACAACAGAAAGAGGCAGGACCTTTTTCTGGGTGCAATGTGCCCGCAGAATACTTTATGCTCTTCGTAGTCTATTGCTATTTAGCATCTACCACCCAGGCGCCCGAATTTTCGGGACCCAGTACCAGGGCACGTAAAGGAATCATCAAAAGAAAAGATGACTTAGCAAAAAAGGACGAAAAGAAAAGAAAAGATGAAATTAAGAAGGACGATCAGGAGAAAAAGAAGGATGAAGGGAAAGTGGTTGGTTAATTGCTTGTTCATTTGCTCTATTTACTTATCATAGCTGCTATTTAGCCAATATGGCGACGTCCATTCAAAAAGGTATCGAGAAAAGATTTGGATCAAACCCAATAAACTTAAAGATACTGCTTCCTATATAACGAAAATAAGAAAAGACCGCTATCGTTGCGATTAATTTAATAAATTATTTTCATTATACGTCTCGGATCAACATATAATCATAATCGTTGTGAATATACTTTGCAGTAAAAATCTACGTACTATGAAACGTTATTCGATTACTAGCAGAACATTTTTGGTGACAACTGGCGGTCGCGGGATATGTAGTACCCTCTATTTGATAGAGAAAAAAAATTAGCGAAAAGGCAATTTTCAACATGTTTTTTATATAGTGCAAAAATTGAACTTTTTTCAAAAATAATGTTGTGGACAGTCCAGCTTCCCCCCCCGCTTCAGTCTCCTGTAGATAGACAAAGCTCGCCTTAGCTTACAGAAGCGGAGAATGTCAAGAAACTATACAAAATGCGAAACTGGTAGTTGTGCCTGCGCAATGCTATCATCGCCTTCAACAAAATAGGAACGCGGATCATCACTGGAGACCCTAGCTACTTTAGCTATCATGTGCTTGCAATTGGATATACTTCACATTGCTGTCCAGGGTTGGGCAGGAGGTGTGGCACACAACCACCGGATATGCCCTCTCACTTAAGTTCTGTTTTAGTACCTCCCCGTCCCCCGCATTGACGTTCAACTCCAATAAGCATGACATTAAGGCTCTGCCAAGTGTAAGTACTTTAGCATAAGTATTTGTGATTGCCATGCCAAGTAACTCCTATGGACCAAATTTTAGCGAATTCTGAGAGTTCTCAATATTGAGCCACCCAAGTGAAGTGATCATTTTCAAGATCATTTTCAAACGTGGTTAACTCTATTTCGAAAGTAATTCAGCTACCCTTTTCGTCCTCAGTACAAAGCACTACTTCCTATTTGCTTACACCCTGAACGCTTCAAATAACCATCAACTTATGGATAGAGCCCCAAAATCTCATTTGTCACATCTTTCGCTTGCAGTGTTTGTCCCCTCAACAACTACTGCTGAAACAAATGGAGACAAGCTCAGCTTTAATCACTTCTACAAAAACTAGGAGATTTGGCCATCGAACCTTATATATTTCATTTGCTGAAATCCTTTTGGAGGTAAGTTAACGGGGTGTGGCACAACCTCAGAAAAGCTATGGCTGCCACACCGTTTTAGGGGTTGTGCCACACCCTCTCAGATAATCGCCGGGGGCAAGCGGCCATGCGAATTTGGAGCAAGCGGGCACCGGAAAAATAGTTCGCTGAGTTTTTGTGGTCCGCTTGCAGAAATTTGGAATAATTTTGGCCAATTTTTAGACGAACGCTCGAAGATCTACCGCGCTTTTTCTATTCATAAGTTGCGGCACAGTGGCCGCATTCTCGCGGACATTCCGCGTAAACATGCAAAATTATTGGGAGCCGCACGGTCCTTTGTGGAGGACCGCGCAACCCCCAGGTACTTTCCGCTGAGAGAAAGTACCCCAAACTTGGGTAATAAAACCATCGATGGCACCCCTGCCACATAGAGTCTCATCTTTTCTCGGCGTATGCCCGAAACCGCGTAAAAAGAGTCCGAGCGCCTGCTGAAAGTTTGGCCAGCGCTCGCTGAAAGAGATTGTTTGACGAGCGCTTGCAGAAAATTTTGTATTGATGCCCGCTTGCAGAAAACGGAAATACCGCCCGCTGAAGGTTTGGCCACGCCCCAAAATTCTGCTGACCGCCTGCAGAAAAGCGCGAGTTTGCGGACCGCCTGCCCCCGGAGATTATCTGAGCTATTGACTTAACTTCAAAACAAGCAGATATCTGTTTTTTGTATCGTTGCAACTGCTAAACCTTCTCCTCTATACAGCAGGAATTCGCTAAAATTTAGCCCACAGGGTGTAGTCATGCTAACCACGAAAATGATCTTTTAGGCCTCCTTTGTCATGCCTACTGTACGTATACGATGGTAGACCGAAACATTTGAGTGCTAGCTAATGAGCCTATTTGACACTTCAAACGAACATTTTACGCCAACGTCAGTATCACCTTAACACCCCCTCCCCCTTTCCTAACCCCCAAAGTACGCCCCCCCCCCCCCCCGGTGTGGCGTGCCACATCCCACGCCTGACCGCTGTCGCTGAGCTGACACCACCTGTGATTCATCAGCACTGGGCACTAGAGCACTTTACGCTCATCCTCGCATTGAGCGGACGCTATAGAAGTAATGGTAAGGAAAAATAAGGTACTGCTGTTATCATAGGACTGCCGATGTCGGCTCTGCTTACTGTATTGATCAGTGACACAACACATTCAAATGCCGCCATTCATCGTAAAAAATGCAGGGTATCCCGAAACTATGTGTACACTGTTTTATGGTTAACATTCCCCTTCCCAAAAGGTCTTTTGCCCACCTTCAGTCACCATTTTGTAGAACTGGCTTTGACTTTGATTGACACTATAGTAGCGAATCACCGATCGCTTTTCATTACTGTAGGATGACAGAGGAACCTCTAGCTTACAGCGTCATTACTTTATAGGGTTTCGGAAAAAGCTTCCAACAAATCTGAGAAATGGTGTATGAGGGTTTTTACACGCGCTAATTTCATTGCTCGACTTTTTGAAAGTTTCTACAGCTTTTCGAATAGTGTAATTACAATTTTAGGGAGTATTGCAGATAGAGCTATTGCTGCTTATCTGACGTAACCTATGAGGGAAGCATTGCGGTAAAGTGTGAAACTCATCTTTGGCTTCAGCGGTTCGACCAGGCTAGTGTAGGAGTTTTCAGATTGTTCGCTTAGCTTTCTGGGATAAAATAGGGGTCTCAAGCACAGAGAAACTTTTTCGAGGACTCTAACTCAATCCCACAGTATTGAAGAGCAATCAGTGATTCACTTTATTGTAAACCTAAGTCGAAGCCAGTCCTACAGAATGGTACCTAAAAGTAGGCAAAAGATTTTTTGAGCAGGGAGAGAGATATTTGCAACCAAACAGTGTATACGTACTTTTAAGACACCCTGTAAAACGGTGTCCCAGAAGTATGTATACAGGGTGTCCCAAAAAAATGTGCCTACTGTTTGATTGTAAATAACTCTCTTGTAATGAAGTGTTTCGAGAAGCTTTAGGTATCGTTATGTAGAGCGAGGTTAAACTTAGATTTACAGTATGGAGCGAATCATCTATCACCTTTCACTACTGTAGGATTACGGTAAGAATTTCGACAAGGACTTTAGGCCTTTGGAGGCTATATTCTGCCTCGGTAAAAAACCAAACAAGATAAAAACTCTTATACTAAGGTAGTGGGAGCCTCTGATTTCTAATTTGAAAATCCCATTTTATTGTGATGCTTCTTTCCTAAGTTATCCCCGGTAAATCACAATAACTCAGTTCCCAGCATTTGTCAGAAATGTAATTATACCGTCAAAAACGCTGGAAACACTCGTAAAAAGTTGTCAGGTGGAATCAGCATGCGCAAAATCCCTAATACACAAATTTTCAGATTTTTTGGAAAAAATTTTGTTAGGTAGTATATTTCACGGTGGTCCATATGCTGGAAATTCTTACCGTAATCCTACAGTAATGAAGAGAGATCGATGATTTGCTCTATATTGCAAAACTAAGTTAAACCTCGCTCTACATAATGGTACCTAAAGCTTCTCGAAACACTTCATTACAAGAGAGTTATATACAGTCAAACAGTAGGCACATTTTTTTGGGACACCCTGTACATACACTACATCTCACACAGGGTGAGCATCACTCGGCCATATAACAGGTGAAACGTAAATGTCAATTTTTGAGGATGCTCCGGAATATGTCGAGTCGGCGCTCAGCTTCTCAAGTGCTGCATAGCCATGTCTTCTTGACTATGGCTTTGAGTAAGTTGCTCCGGTCGATGGAAGTGATAGTGTGACGACAATGATTTTGTGCAGAAGTAATTCCAGCTCTTACATGGGCCTGTCACCAGAGACCATCCTTTTTTCAAGAAGAGGAATGGGGAGATCAATTCGTTGGAAAAGATATCGTGGTGCACATGGAGTTGCGGTTATAACAACACCTGTGACTCTACGAGGATGTACGTGCTCCTCAGTCGTCCCAGCTCATTTCTTATTTCAAAACGCATTTCACCACTGGCAGAAATGACTCAGTCAGCTATTTTAAGCTATAGTTGCTTCAGCGAATAACTTTTTGCGCAAAATTTTTTAATCCACGATAGATTTCTACAGGAAAGAGCTCTGATGAACCTGAAAATAATATGCTTCTACACTTGCTCAGGTGGGAGATTGGACAATTTGCGTCTAAAGCAGACACACCTCGGGCAGCTTGAAGCTGTTTTTTTGCATATCAAAAATTAACGGTAAAGTTCGGCCAGATTGCGAGACACGAAGTACGCTGCGTCATGCATACTTGCCTAAGGCTGGGTTTTTGATCCGTAAGTTCCGGAGCCGTTCCAGCCAGCGCACAGTTTAGCGCTGTGCTAGAATTGTTTCGGAACTTACGGATCAGTGTGAAGTCAGCCTAAGACACTACCAGCGCTGGTGGTCATTCGCGGCTGAAATATTCGCTCCCCATCCTTACCCCTTTACCGTAATTGACGGACGAGTTGCACCGGGTTGCATATTGGGACCCGCCGCCCTCGTGCGCAAAACTGCAAGACCATGCAAGTTGACCATTATACGTACTGGGGGTGTCCGCATGCTGCCTTTAAACGCCCAGTTAAAGACGCTTAGTTATAGTACACCTTTAATTAAGACGAGTAAGTTCAGACGGTTCAACATCTGCTTCCACATATACCTGCGGCAGATGATGATTTTTAAAGAACAAGCTGTCAAATATGTATTGAGAAAAAACATAGAGCTGCACGACACGACATATAGTAGCATCATGAGGAGCGGAAGGTTGAGACAGAACACGCCCATGAACAGCACTCCTTTTCTTAGCTTTCGGGCATACATTACGCAATGTTGATCGCAGCGCTAGTCTGCAAGTGTTTCTTTTGAAGACATCCGGTAATTTCGACAGATGACTTCAAGAGTTACACTTGCAGACTAGCGATACATAGCGTGTATAGCCTTTGGAGACTAATAAATTGCCCTAACCTGCATATTTAAAATGCAGTTACCTCAGACATTCGATGTTGATTCGCAGCCCAAAGTTTTGTGAAAGCGCTGAATGACGGCGCGACACAAGTAATCAGCTTCGCGACAAAATCCCGAGACAGCATTATGTGTCGGGACAATGCTGCGCAAGACAACGCTTTGTCGCAACCCATATCTTTCAGAAAATACTCGGTAGCTCGAGCGCGAGACATCTTAATGACCGGACGCAGGTGGAGCGCGTTATTTCACAGTAATCATTTCGCTATATCCCTACTTGTTTAACATTATGTGTGTATTTACATATATTATGTATATATACACTATACATACATAAACATGTATACATGTATATATACATGTATATGTATATACAAGGTGTCCCAATGTGAACACTGTTTGATCGTCAATAACTCCCTTGCTTTCATGTCTTTCGCCGAGCTTTAGGCACCATTCTGTAGAGCGAGGTTCAACTTAGACTATAGCATGGAGCGAACCATCGACCGCTCTTCGATACTGTGTGATTACGGTATGAACTTTCAGCATGTGGATCCATTGTGAAATATGCCATTTGACGAAATTTTTTCCAAAAAATCTGAAAGATCGTGTACCAGGGTTTTCGCGCGCGCTGATTCTACTGCACAACTTTTTACGAGTGTTTTTAGCTTTTTTGACGGTGTAATCACATTTCTGACAAATGCTGGAAATTCGGTTATTAAGGTTTATCCGGGATAACCTTGGAAATGAGCGTCACGGTGAAATGAATATTTCATATTTAAAATCAGCGGCTTTTATTACAATAGTGTAAGAGTTTTTGGTTTGTTTGTTTTGTTCTGAGGCAGAATATGGCCTCTAATGGCCTAAAATCCTTGTTGAAGTTCCTACCGTAATCCTACAGCAATAAAGGGCGATCGACTATTCGCGCCATTTGGTGGGAACCAAGTGTCGCAGGCGATAGTAGTGTCGATAATAGATTTATCCACCGACGAACCCCGGTGCTGAACCGGGGGGAGCAACCTATAATACAATCGGGGGCTCCTTATATAGGTAGTAAGGCGGAGCTGACCCGTGCACAATCAGACTGTCCAGGAAATATGCAAGAAAGGGGATGCCGCGGCTTGGCGCGGCCCCTGGAAAATAGGTGCCACTCACTGGTGAGCGATTCGGCACTTAAATATAAACGGTTGGGGAATGTAGCCTGTGGGGAATACCCGTGAGCTATTAGGATTATAGAATTGTTGAGGTTGATGATACATAAATCATCAGCACGCCGTACTATAGATCTAAGTTGAACCTCGCTCTAAAGAATGGTGCCTCAAGTTTGGCGAAAGACATGAAAGCAAGGGAGTTATTAACAATCAAACAGTGTTCACATTTTTTGGGACACCCTGTATATATGTATGTATATATATGAGATACACATCTAAAATCAACAAATTTATTACTTCTAAAATCACGTAACAAAGAAAGGACAAAAAAGAACTTCGGGAGCCAAACTACTATGCTTAGGCTCCCGCCAGAGTGCCAGCGCTACGCCAGCATTTCGATCGATACACGTGTATTTCGTTGGGGGCATCTACCTGCTGAGCTAGCCCCGCCCCAACGAAATACACGTGTATCGATCGAAATGCTGGCGTAGCGCTGGCATAACTTCGGCACTCTGGCGGGAGCCTTACTATCTTGAAGCTTCACAACATGGGACTCTCTGTGATAAGATGGATGTGTACTAGGTAGCTGTTTGAGCAATGACAATCGCCAAATGGAAAAAATAGTGGCTGCAGATGGGCTAAATTTCGTCGGGGCTGGTCTTCTCTATTTCCTTGATAGCGGAAACTACTTGCCGTCGTCTGAACCACACGCTTTTTCTGAAAAAAAGATACGAGTTGACAGTGTGCCCAAGGGAAGAAGTGCATGGTATCTTACCGTTGGAGGGAACAGTTTAGCTCTTTCCGGATTGAGTTCGTAGGCTCGTACATCCCCTGGAAAACGCAAGAGAATGTCCATGCGCCTTGTCACTACCTAGAGAGCTTACAAGGCTCTTCCGAGAGCTGTGCGAGCGAAGATCGCCCAATCCTGGCTTGTGAAAGCACGTCGAAAGCTTTTGAGCGCTCCTTGTCATCCTTTCCAAGGTTTGTCCACCAGCTAATATTCAAAAAAATGCAAGCTTAATTCTCCAAAACGTACATTGTTGGATTCCGCATTAATTCTGAAACGGGTTGCAGCAAATCGTCGACGTATAAGCCAAGACCATCCAATGCGAAACCTTAAAAAATGAGAAGGTCGAAAGGAGGAAAATTGAACAGTGTTGAACCTACTGATTAAAAATGTAGCAAGTGACTCCGGTAAATCACGAAGTGTTTGTACTTCCCCTTTTTTCCGCCCAGGCGGCACGCATAGTGCTGAATCTCGGTTATGGGGTCACAAGCCTATAAAGACGCAATCAATGGGTGTGACTCTGGATGACTGCTTACTCACATTGACAAGGTAATGGCGATAGAAGTCGAGTATTCTCAGAAACTGGTCTCGTTTAGGAGTTTTGATGGGAGGTTTCCAGCTCTCGAGTAGCTCGGGCATATTGACTTCCTGCAGAAAACTATCTTAGTGTTTACACCTACAACAGGGTTTTAAACCTTAGGGCACTTCTTGTCGCCAATTCCATGTTTTCGTAATATTCTTCCTTTCGAATACGTAACCTTCGGGCAACCACTACTCGGAATTTTTGGCAACGTGGTATTTCGTCTTTTGCAACTGGCGATCCTGCTCTCGTTGCTTGGTGAGAATGTAATCGGTCTAAAAATTCGCTCGCCTATTTCTGCTCGAGGTTCCTAGTCAACTTACGACTGTGGCGAGCCCGGCAATGACTTTGTTCTCGCACGACAGCCGTGAGTGCCCTCACGACCGAATCGGAGGAACTCCTCATAGTTTCGATGTTGTCCAACATTTTCTTTGCATGGTCCAAGTTGATAAATATTTTATTTTAGCGTGAAGAATTTCCTGAAAAAGCCATTGATCACAATCCAATTCGTGGGACCTTGTTGGCGACATCAAGACGAAATAGCCGTAAAACTTTGCCTAATTTAGGGAGGGACACTGCATTTTCTTGCATGGCACTTGCGATGACATCTGAAAAGCAGCCCTCTTTGAAAACTTGCAAAAAAAACTGAGCAAGTGATACCCGTGAAAGAACTCGAAGCAACATGATGCTCTGATGGAGGTGGAAGTCGTGTTTCACGGCGTTGCCACGCCTCTATGTTGGTGGTTCCAGGTCTGTCTTCATCTAAGTCTTCGCCATGCATAGCGTGACAGACAGGAGAGTAAACAAAATATGTAGACCCTGTGACGTTTTGTTGTTAAAAATGTGGATGCCAAGATACTGGTATATAGTACATACGCTGATGTCAACGACACCATTTTGCAAAGCAGGGGTCAGACGCTCCGTTTTGAGCGTGAACCTCCAATCCTTCCACCGACAAGACGGCGAGCTCATGTTTGACGCTGAACATCGAAGAATGATAGTAGAGTCGATAACAGTTGAAAATGGCGGCTTGTCGGCTGAATAGTTTTTCAAGATAACACGTGGGGGTGATCTGCTCGTGAATAGTATACTAGGCATAGAATTTTTTCGTAAGAGTTCTTCTCCTTATGCGACAGAGCCTCCAGCCTCAAATACAATGGCCAAGCCTGTGACCTAGATTTCCTTATTTTGGTTGAGTTCAAAATAATGGAAAGCAATGCTAACTTAAAGATTCTCTTGTAAGTAACGCCGTCAGTGCTCATCGTAAGCATCACATTCGTTCGCTGCTGTTCGAAGGCTTCGCGGCTTTCCATCTCCCCTCTGTACGATTTAATCCTATGTTTTAGAAAGAATTCGATCAACATCCCCGTTCTAGGTAGAGGGGTCGAAAAAGAAGCCGAACCAGGTATCTGAATCTTACATGTTCATGCAATCCTTTGTAGACAGCGATGAGCTCATTGATGTTCCTCTTTGAAACAATCTCAAACTGCGGAATCAAGCGCACAAGATGGAGTGAGGTGCGTTTGGAGAGAATGGTCCTTTTTGGAGTAATCCTGCAGCATTACCAGTCAGATAATTTTGTGAAGAATAGGGACAAACCCTTTCAAACGACATCCAGCTCGATTGCAAACTGCCGATCTGTCGCGTAGTAGTTCAGAGCAATGGTTGCAGAAAAAACCGGGAAAGAAGTTCCGACTTGATTGACCGTACGTCCAACGTAAAATTGTACAAGAAGCGGGAAGTTTGTGACTTGTCGAATCACAAAGCCTTTGCGTTTCACACCTTATCGGAACGAGAGGACTGGGTTCTGATCCTGTGCAAATCGCCGAGATATACTTTCATCGCATCAGTTACTCCGAAGTGAAGCGAAAAGTTTGTCATGTAGAGAAGCCTCATCGAGGCTCTAAGTACACGGTGACCATCCTCGTTCTTCACTAATTGAAGGCAAATCTTGCACAGTCGACGGACTTTGGGCTGCAGCACTGGTGTAAACATCCTCAAAGAACGTTTTCCTCTCGTGAAGCATGGCGCTTTGTATATTGCAGAAGACAGGATGCTTCTTCTGAACGCGCATTACGCGTATAAGCCGATCCAAGATTGGTAGAACAAACCGCTTAATTCTCTCCTAGTTTTCTTTAGAATCGCCGCGTCTTTACTTCGTCCTCTAGCGCGGCAAGCGCTATAATTTCGATATGTTAAGCAGTCTACAACTTGTTGATAACTGTGCAATATATTGAAGAGTATTTTCTAGTGTTTGTAATGTGTTGTTTTTTTTCTTGTTATGTTTGTAAAAAAAATTTTATCGTTTGGTAGCCGCTGCTTGTAATCGCATAAGCAACAACATTCAACAGCATCCAGCATCCATGCAAATCTCTAACACCTCACATTTGCCTGAGCCCATGCCCATACACCCAGAGCACCCAAAGTACACCGGTGCTGGTTGTACTACTAGGCATCAAAACTATAATACATTTGGCCTTTGTATACCTTGCGTTTGTCAAAAGGTAACATGTACAGAAAACGCGTACCTCTTCCGGATGCGAATGTACTTTGAGGCAATGGCTCACGAGGGGGATGGCTGGCCCTCGGCCTCACGCTTCTCCAAAGACGACATGCAAAAAAGTACTCCTAAATTAATAATGTATAATCAATGAGCGAAAAACGAAAGATACGAACCTACCGATTAAGCAGTTAGGCTCAAATTGCGACCACGCAGGGTATGGCGTCAAAGTCAGCTGGCACTACGTTCCCTGACGATATTAATCAGACTCACTGAATCAGATACGAAAAGAACGCATTACTTATCCGAAGCCGTAAAGGAGATGTACGGCCAACCGCTATGTTCAAGAAGAAATAATGAGTCTATCAAAAGGTGTTGTTGTTCTCTTCGAACTCGCGTTGTTCAACCTGCTCGAACCAGTTTCAATGTTTCATCTCCGATTTCCTTTCGCGAGAATCCCGAAAATCTGGCAAAAAATTGTCTAGCACATGTCTACGCGCTTTCCCGCGAATCCCCCAAAAGGGGGCGGATCTCCAGCGCGAGTCAACAACGAATGTCTGAGACGATGGCTTTGAACAGTCGGAATATTGCCAAATCGCTTAGCGACTATTGCATGGACTACACCCGGCGACTGCAACTCGCTCTATGAATTTCGTCACAAACAGACATACAACAGACAGACAAACAGATAGACGCTTAGCGCTTTATTATAAGTCATGGTGGTCCGCCATAAGAAATTAGAAATATTGAGTGGAAGAGAATTTTCAAACGAGGAATAGATTACCTAAGAGCTGTCACCATAAAGGCTGCCTTGAGAGCTACATCTCTGTCAAACTCGCTCTACAAATTTCGGAAAAACGGACAGACACACCAAAAAGATGTAAATAATACTTATCCCGTTATCATAAGATTTGATGATGTATCAGCCCATGTTCTCGTAGGGATAGGGACCCTTCATACTTCGCCAAAATAGATGCGAATAGGCTCCCGAAAAGCTCCAGAAAGCGCCAGAAAGGGTGTCGTGCAAAAGGTGACATTCCATGGATGCCACACAGCTTGCATTTTGCGCCTTGTCATCTCATCCCCCCCCCCCCCTCCCCCCGCCTTTACGAGCCGGCGTAAGATCAAAAACTCTTCAGCACTGAAACCAACTAGAAGCTCGAATAAACGACGAGCGACATCGTTTTGAAACTCCAATATCAATGTACTAGGACTACCTATCACACTTTCGCAGCATCGAATTCAATCGTTCAGCTGTAAATTTGTCAAGCGTGAAAAGTAACGATCGTGAAAAATAACGACCACTAAGGTGGTCCACTGCGCGCTGAGAAGAGTTTACCACTATCCATGCACAGCGTTAACGATATAACAGGTAAGGGGGCAATCTGGGTGCGTGGAGCGTAAAAAGAGTGCGGAGCGCAAAGAGAATTCAGATCCGTTATCTCTTTTTGTAAACAACATTAGGAGACCGGACCTACGCGGTTGGTCCACTTTTAGGACCTGCTAATAGAATTATAGTAATCTGGGGTAAGTAGCTTTTGCGTGGACGCTGCCTTTGATATACAGCACGTTATGGGGTCTTTTGGTTGCAAAGTCCTTTGGCACGTGTTGGCTGGTCGATTTGAAAAAAAAAACTCTCGCCTTGTACGCGTGAAATTAGGGTATTAATATCCTCGATTTCTGCAGATTTTGAGCTGGGGTTTGAGATGAAGATACAGTGAGAGGAAAGCGAGCCTGTTGATTACGAAAACATGACGGGGGTAAGGAATTGGCGGATGGAAGTAAATAGGGACAGGAAAATTTGTCTAGAATCAGGGAATAGCGTCTCTGTCATAGTGTGACGACAAGGATGGACGATGCAGGGTACACCAGCTAACCTTGAGGAGAATATGGAAGTATGCTTGAAAGAGCAGTGTCTCACCAAAATTGGGGTAGTGCTAATCTCAACATACATATGTCCCTTGAACAGGCGACTGCCCCAGGTGCAACTTAATCGGGCCCATTTACGCCGAGAAATTTGCCCTCGAGGTGGCAAAAACGGGATTTTCGCGCATCCTGTGCGATTTGACCAGCATCAAGTTAGACATGGACAAAAAAGGCTTGCAAAATGCAAAATTCTCGACAATCAAACCTTTAATGGGCACTGTAATCGGCGAGACAGCCTGACAGCTTTAGAATTACAAAAAGCCTACATCGCTATCCGCGGCATCTATGATAACTTGACGATAACACTATGCTCTTAATTCGCTTGCGCTTCAGAAGATGGATTTCACATTCACTTCTCATTGTTCGCCACGATGGTAATTCATAATTCCGAAATGATTCTTTAACGATTTTCACTTAATCGACTAAGAAAAGAGCAATATTCAAATGAACTGTACATCTTCTCACGATGTGGAACTGAAAAAAACGCTGCGCTTTTTCGACAGAGACATGCTTTAGGCAAATCAGCAGCGATAACTTGCCCTTGCGTTATGTGCTGACGTAAGTAGAATTTTGGAGAGTATCGTGACTGAGCATAGCAAAGCTCCCATATATTTTGTGAAGTATAAGCGGTTCACCACACGCGCAGTCTGGACTCGACTCCGTCACATCCGAGATAGTTCGTGCATGGGAGAGAAAGCAGAAGAGCAAGGGAATGAAAGAGCAATCAGTAAGTCGCCGACAGCGTCCGCAGCGACACCCTGTCTTTGCGTGTGATTAATCGCCTGTACATTAATCAGCGAATTTCGCTACTGAGACGCGAATCCTGCTAAAGGAGAGTTGCAATGCTCCTACTCAATTAGGCAGTAAGTGTTTGATCATGTGGAGGATTTGTTTCCAGCTTGGAGTTCCACATTGCAGAATGTAAATGGCAGATAGCATGCGGATTAGTTCTCGGGCATACCTCCCACGATTTCGGTCGCAGCGATCTGACAATTTGTCATATTTCTTCGAATTCAACAATTGCGAACTACAAATGCAGAGTATGTACAACTTTCACAGATCTACGAAATGCGCCCCATCTTCTGCTTATTTATGAATTCTTACGATGACTTACAAACAGTTAGAGTATTGCCAAATAGCTTCGCGGCTAAAATCGCGTGAGATATGCCCGGGGCCTTACACTCAGTTCATCTACCATTCATCGTCTGTTCACGTCACACTGTATTAGAGCTGAATATTTACGATGCTGCGAAGTAAAGAGCCACATAGTCACAATGGAGAGCGTCATGGTCTTTTTCATTAGAAAAAAAAACAAATTGATAGATCTGCAGTTTGATGTATATGTATCGTAAAAT